TTATCTGTGCTTGGTTTTGGGGCAGTTTGTCTCATCAAATCTGGAACTGTTAAATTTGAATATCAACCCGTTAATTTCGGTTACTACAGTAACTTTATAAATATGAATTTTTCTTCACACGTGGGTCAAGTAATATGCCAATTTTTTGTGTCTTTAGTAATTGCTTTTTCTTTTTTCTGTACTGTCAAATTTCAGTAAACTTTATAGGTTTCAGTTTATAATTCAAGGTCTTTCTTCAGTTGCCTCCTGAAAAATTGTGTGGGAATAAAAATTTCTTTCAACTGTTTGTGTAGATGAGCCTTTTAAAAGATTAGTGTTGCACTGACTGTCTTTGCAGTGCAAATCTGTAACTTCTATTTTGTAAGTTAATACTGTTAGGCAATATAATGTGACAGAGCACACAGATAATCAGGGCTAGATTGCCTGGGTATTCTGGCTGTGGACCTAGGACTTGACCTGCCTGTTTTGTTTCCTTATCTGAAAGGTGTAAATAATAATAGTGATTATTTTATAGAGTTGTGAGAATTAAATGAGATAAAACATACAGAGGGCTTAGAAGTGCCTAGTACATAGTAAGTGCCTCAGATGATGTTAGTTACTGTATTCATATTAGTTTTTCAGAGATAAGACTGATGCAGAAATTTATACTTAATGGAAAAAGTTAATTATGGAGATGATGTACGTGAATGTTTGGGGCTTTAGGGATCTTGTCATAAAGAAATTGTCGCCCTAAAGGGGACTGGTTGCACAAAGAAGTTAAAGTTCTAGGTTTCATTAAAGTGTTGAACTTTGTGTGAGTTATTGTATTAATGTTACATAATTAAATCATGCTTTTCTCTTAATGTGTAATTTGAAAACCACTTGTTCTGCAAACATGAAACATTTATAATGCAAGCTAAATATAACAATTTATAGCTTGCTTTTCAGGCTATAATCTTTGAGCTATAAAGTATCAGGCTCGTAAACAAGCCATTTTCAAGAGGGAGTCCAGATCACTTGACAACCCCACAGACCTCCAGAGAAATTAAGCAAAAACCCTTCACTCATTACAGTTTTGCCTTGAAACTTTTTGGACTATTGCTTCTCTTTATCGCAACTTGTTTAATAATCACTGCTGTCTCTTCTGATATCTCAGTTGAAGTAGATTTATAATTTACATGACATTATTTGGACATAGTGCTTCCAATTAGGTATTCATATGTATCTTGACCTTTTCTTTTTTGTTTCTGGATTTTACTGCTTTACATAGTTAATTTATTTTATTCTTCAAAATGTTGAGTAAGACCAAGTCAGTTTTACAGTCCTATTTAAAAAACAATTGTGATATCCATGCTTATGTATCAGAGCTAGTTTTAAAAATTGTTCAGCTGAGTACTAGGGAAATACATAAATCCAATCTTCATCACCTTTCTAGAGAAATTTGTTTTCTTGCAATGGACGCGGCAGCATGTCCAGGGGTCTCTTCAGGTTAAGGAGTTAAAAGTATCTCTACTTCCATTCTGAATAGTTATCAGAAAAACTGATTGGTGTTACATTCAACTGAGGTGATAAAAGACACAGGTTTTTAAAAAGGTGTCAATGTGTCTTCTTGCCACTTATTATTTAATAGTGAATTTAAATCCAACTAATGTTAATGTTTACTGCAACACTGAGTTTGAAAATTAATGTGCTAAGATACAGAATACCCTTGGGGATCACTTTGGTCAGATCACAGAGATGTCATTTGCATGCGTTGCTAATCAGGATTTTTTTTTTTTTTTTAGGTTTCTTTTTTATCAGCAGGTAAATCAGTCATAAATATTACATACTTATTGAGTGAGAGAAAGAGATGTAGTTTTGAAATCAGTTTGTATTTTAGGTAGACTTGGTTATTCTAGAAGTTGAAACTAATTTTATACATAAATACTTATTGTACTGTTTGTAATTTTAATGTCTAGGAGAATTGTGAGGTTACTAGAAATTTAAAGATGGATTCTCACTGTAAACACCTCATCCCTCCCCACTCCCACATACAGTGTCTTTTGGCTTAAAAAGTCACAAACTGATGACAAAACATGTTAGATGTTGAGAAAACAAAGATGCATAAGTTCATTAGAGAGCTAATCTCCATATAAATAGCTAAAACTATTACTCATAAGGTTATATTAATTAAAGTCTTGATTTCAGGGCAAATATTTCCAAATAAACAATATTTCCATACTTTCCACTACTCAGAGATGAGAAACATGAACAGGGAAAGTTTAGTTAAATACCAATGAGCAAATACCTGAAGGAGTTTTAAATTTTACAAATAACAGAGGCATTCTGGAATTTCTGTCTTTAGTGATGAATAGAGTAACAAGTTTGGATTTATAAGTTTCAGTAAATCTTAAAGGATTCAAAGCATACAAAGTATGTTTTCTGACCATAGTGGAATTATGTGGAATTTGACAACAGAAAGATAATTAGAAAATCCCCCTGATCGTAGGGAAATTAAGTAATACACTGTAAGTAACCCAGGGGACAAAGAACAAATCAGAAGGGAAATTTTAGAATGTTTTAAACAATAAAAATTAAAATATGACATACCAGAATTAGAGGGGTGTAGCTAAGGCGGTGGTTAGTGGAAAATACACGAACTAAACACATTAGAAAATAAGAATGGTTTCAAATTTATGACATCATTTTGCACATCAAGAAATTAGAAAAAAAAGCACATTAATATTTAAAAGTAAAGGAAAGAAAATAAAGAGCTAAGTCACTGAAATAGAAATGAGAAAGACAGTAGAGAAAATAAATGGAACCAAAAGCTGCTTCTAAAGATCAGTAAAATTAATGAATTTCTAGGTAGACTGAGCCAAGAAAAAAGAGGGAAGAAACAAATTAGCAATATAAAGAATGAAAGAGAGGGATATCACTACATATTCTCTAGACAATAAAAGAGAATAATGGACTATTATAAACAGACAGTATCCTTATATTACATTAAAAAATGAATTTTTAGTTAAGAACCTACTCAGCCAAAAAAAAAAAAGTCAATAGTGAAGTAGTTCACTGGTAAATTATACTAAACATCTAAAGAAGAAATAATACATGTTTTTCAAGTAAATTGAAGAAAAGATAAAACTTCCCAATTCTATGAGCCCAGCATTATTACCCTGAAACCAAAATACAAAAAGATGTTTCAAGAAAAGAAAACTAAAAACCAGTATTCCTCATGAATATAGAAGCAAAAAGTTGTAGCAGATTTTTGGCAAATTGAATCCTGAAATATCATTGAAGGATGCTACTTCATTGGCAACTGGGATTTATTTAGAACTGCAGGATTGGTTTAGTGTTCAAAAAATCAGTGTCATTCACCATGTTAACAGAGTAAAGAAGAAAAACCGTATGATCATCTAAGTAGATAAAGAAGAGAATTTGACAAAAACAAATGTATCTAAAATCTCACAGAAACTAGAAATTGAAAGAAGTTTTCTGATCTTGATAAAGATTGTTTATGAAAAGCCTACAACTGGTATAATACTTAATGGTGAAAGACTGAATGCTTTGCCCCAAAAATTAGGAACAAGGAAGGATGTAATCCTTCATCACTGCTGTTAAACAGTAGCCTAGAGTTCTTAATCAGTGCTATAAAGCAAGAAAAAGAAATAAACATGAAGATTGGAAAGGGAAGAGAAAAGCTTTCTTTTTGTGTATATGACTTGATTGTCTATGTGGAAAATCCTAAGTACTAAGTAAATAAATAAGTAAATAAATAAAGATAGAACCAAGAAATGAATCCAGCAAGGTTACATGATAGGAGGCGAACAAGCAAAAATCGACTGTATTTCTAAATACTAACAACACACAATGGGAAATTTAATTAAAAAATACTTATGTACAGTAGCATAAAATGTGGACTAATAGGGGTAAAGTTTTATGGAAAATTACAAAATATTGCTGAGAAATTAAGGAAGTAGATATGTTCAAGGATCAGAGGATTCAATATTGTTACGGTATCACTTATCCCCAATTTAATTTATAGATTCAGTACAATCCCAACCATAATCCCAGCAGACCTTTTTCATAGGAATTGACAAATTGACACAAAATTTATGTGGAGGGCCCCCTGGGTGGCTCAGTCATTAAGCATCTGCCTTTGGCTAAGGTCATGATCCCAGGGTCCAGGGATCGAGCCCTGAGTTGGGCTCCCTGCTCTGCGGGAAGCCTGCCTCTCCGTCTCCCACCCCCTTTGCTTGTGTTCCCTTTCTGGCTGTCTGTCAAATAAATAAACTCTTAAAAAAGTAATAATAAAATTTATGTGGAAAATCAAAGAATGTAGACTAGCCATATAATTTTAAAAAGACAGTGTTGGAGGATCAACTCTCAGGCATTCTTATTTGTGAAAAGAGAGTTCTGTAGATAAATGGAACAGAAGAGAGTCCAGAAATAGACCTATATATATAAGGTGAGTTTAATTTTAATTAAAATTGACAAAACAATTCATAGGCAAAGGAAAATCTTTTAAACTAATGGTATCATAGAAAGATAATCCTCAACCCTTACAGAACATAGCCATTTATTTTTCAAATATATAAAAAAATTAATAATGGATTATAGATCTAAAAGAAAAAATTATAAAAATTTTTGAAGAAAACAAAATTTTAGTGTCTTGGGTTAAAAGATTTCTTAAGTGGGGCTAAACAAGGGTACAAATCATAGAAGGAAAGTATTGAGTAATTGGACTTCATCAAAATTAAAAACTTGTAATCTTGGAAAAATTTATATAAAATGAAAAGTTAAGCCACAACAAGGAGAAAATATTAGCAAAATATATATTAGATAAAGGAATTGTGTCTAGAATATATATAGAACTTACACAACTCAATAAGATAACCTATTACTGTATTAGAAAAAATATTTGAACAGATACTTCACCAAAGAAAATATGCAGACTGTAAATAACTACAGGAAAAGGTGCTGGACATTATTAGTTACAGGAATATGCAAATTAAAACTAGAGGTGCCTCAGTGGACCCACTGGAAGAACTGGTTAAAAATATAATCCATATCCAAATATTGTAGAATGTGGACCTAGAACTCCCATTATGCTTTTGGTGGGCATATAAAATAGTATAACGCTTCTGTAAAAATGGTTTGGTTGTGTCTTAAAGACATCTACGTACAACCTAGGCCCTCTCCAGGATTTGACTTAAGAGAAATGAAAACGTATGTCTACACAAAGACACTTAAAGTAATATCCACAGCATCTGGAATAGTCACTTGGTAATAAGTGTGGGACATCCATACAGTGGAACACCACTGAGCAGCAAAACAGAACGAATCGTTAATGCACACAATCATGTGGGTGAACCTCAAAATAATTACTTCTGTTTTAAGAAGCCAGATTAAAATAAGTACATAGGGTATGGTTTGATTTATATAACTTTCTAGAAAATATAAAATGACCATGGTTGCTTTGGGATGATCACGGAGGAGGGGAGTAAGGGTTGAAGAAACTTGTGGGTGTGATGGATAGTTACATTATCTTGTTTTTTTTTTTTTTTTTAAGATTTTATTTATTTGAGAGAGAATGAGAGAGAGAGAAAGCACATGAGGGGGGGGAGGGTCAGAGGGAGAAGCAGACTCCCTGCCGAGCAGGGAGCCTGATGTGGGACTCCATCCAGGGACTCCAGGATCATGACCTGAGCTGAAGGCAGTCGCTTAACCAACTGAGCCACCCAGGTGCCCGATAGTTCCATTATCTTGACCGTGCTGATGCTTTTACGGATGTCTACATGTCTGAAGTTCATAAAATTGTATACTTTATTACGTGCAGTAATAAATTACATCAATTACAATTTTGCCTTTTGAAATTCAAAAAGATTTTCTAGCCACGGAAATTGGCTGAGAGCAAAAATGTTTCATTGTATTATATATATATTATTATATTACTTTTCCAATATGCTTCTCAGCAGAAATTGAGTTATTTTTCAAAAATCATTTATTTCATCCTTGAAATGTCTCAAAAACTACACTGATGTAGGTGTGGTGATGAAAGAGAAATTAATCTCAGGAAATTAGGGATATTTCTGAAAATTATTTTTTGGATTAAAATTTTGTGTTTACACTTTTAAAACCCAGTATTTATATAAGGCAATTGTGTTGGAGTATGAAGTACAACAGAAAAATCATAGATTAGCTTTCTTTCATTTAGAACTTTTAAACTTTATCATTGATGGTGGAATTTTTTTTTAAAAGATTTATTTATTTTAGAGAGAGAGCGAGTGCGGGGGTTGGAGGGTGTGAGGGGCAGAGGGAAAGAGGATCTTGAGCAAACTGCCCACTGAGCGTGGCGCCCTTTTCAGGGCTTGATCTCAGGACCCTGAGATCATGACTCGAGCCAAAACCAAGAGTCGGACACTTAACTGACTGAGCCTCCCCGGCGCCCTGATGATGGAATTTATTATACTTACATGAAGTCCGTGTTTTCCATAAATTAATATTTTCATTCAGATAATGCACTTTGTGATTGCTGTAATGGTATATTGTTTTTGGATCAAGTGACAAGTATTTGGAGTCAAATGTTTTATTCCTTTACACCTATTTTTTAGGACTCCCCTTTTTTTTTTTAATGCATTCTAGGAACAGCTATTTCTATATGGATTATATTATTCTGGACAGCAACTATACACATATACACACACGCCCCTACAGTTTTATGATGTTGAGAAAACTAACCATATACTCTCAGACATTTTTTTCTAATATTTAAATATATAAGCTTCATCTGTTAAAATTGTTACTGCAAGAGCTAACTATAGTAAGAACTGCTTGTATGATTTGTTACCATAAATTATTTCACTGAGGTATGTGAATTACATTCTTTAAAAAGATTTCCTTCTTGTTTTAAAATAAATTGTTCATGATGGATAATATTGGGTTGTTGGTTTTTCTAGAGGGTTTGGTGAAATCAGATGTTCGTAAGAATTGAATGCCTGCTTTGTGTAGCAGAAAGTTGTGGAAGAAATACAGAAGTTGTGTTTGAGAAGTTTACAGTCTTGTTGAGAAACAAAAGTTGAGATTTCAGAGGAACACTAGAAGGGTGATGTGTTCATTTAATATTAGTATCTATTCTAATTACTTATTAGACTAATACTGTCTGATAATTAGGATCATCCCACGACAGTGCCAGTTGGTGATTCATTGCTCAGTGAAAGACATTCATTTTAGTAGATGTGGAGTGTGAAGGAATGAATCATTGACTTGGAGGGGTCTGGGAAAGTTTCATGGAGGAGGAGGGATCTTTGTTTAAATGGGCTTATTGAGGAAAAGTACTTAAACAGTGCCTGGCACCAAGTTAGCACACACTCAATGTTGGCTGTTGTTACTGCTGTCCACAGCAGCTGGGCCTTGCTGAATGGAAAGGATTATGATAAATAGACTTGAATGAGGAGAGGATGGATATTCTTGGCTGGGTAATAACATGATTAGCTATGAAAATGTGGCATTTGTGCTGAAATTGTGAGCTAAGCCTAGGTCCTCTGCTGTTTTTGTCCTGGACTCCGTTGAATGTCCTAGGTCACAACACTTTTTAATTATGATGTAGGAGTGCTGGACTCCTCCCTAATCAATATTAGTTAAATTTTTGGTTTATTAAAATGAATACCTGTTTACCAGTAAAGATTTTGTTAATCTTCACTTAAGGTTTTTTTTTTTTTTTTTCCCCAATAGGAGCATCGGAATTTGCCTTTTATGCGTGAGCTGCGGTATCTATTTGCACTTCTTGTTGGTACTAAAAGGAAATATGTTGATCCATCAAGAGCAGTTGAAATTCTTAAGGATGCTTTCAAATCAAATGACTCCCAGCAGGTAGCTTTTTTGTACTTACTTACTTATTAATGTTTGTATTTTATTTAATCTGATCATTCCTTAAGCAGTTTTTTCAGACACATGACAATTGAAGATATTGTTATTCCTTTTTATTAAAAATAAGTTGTAGCCATTTAAAACATCGCTTATTTGGAAGATTTGCTTTTAAGTTAAGAAAAAAGTGACAGTGATCTTGGAAAGTGTTAAGATAAATGAAGCTGTAATTTATATTGTGATAGAAATTAATATGTGAAAACAGTGGGTAAAATTAGGAATGTTCAAAAATGTTAGTTATAAATCTTCACGAATGTGTGATAAACCCAAGGCCAGTATAGTATACATGCTTTTGGTATGCCTATTTTTGTTGGCATGGTAGTTTCCTTAATTACTTAGGACTTTGAACTACATTAACTTTGTTATTGTTGCTTTTATTTTCCAATCTTTGTGTAGATCTCATGTTGAGAATCCTTACCTTAATTACATCTTCAAAGACCCATATTCTAAATAAGATTACATCCTGAGGTCCCAGGTGGACATATATTTTGGCGGACCACTATTTAACCCACTACAGTTGGTATGGATGTTTATAACTGGAGTTTTGTGCTGAGTTTAGTTGTCTTTAACTGTGTGGCTTTGGAACAATTCCTTAAGCTTCTTAGATCCAAGTTTCAACATTTTAAAGGTGAATGGATTGACCCAGCTGCTCTTTAGAAAACTTATAGCTAGAAAAATATATGATAGTAAATTTGTTTAATACTTGGGGCTATTTTGATAAATAAAGGCAGATTGCTTTACACTGATTGATCCGTCTTTGATGAACCCAGTCTTAGTAGGATTGGTTTATTTTTTTCTCCCTAGGTTCTGGATGAACCTATTTTCTGTGTTCCACCTCACATTATTGAAAGAATTATGGTAGCTGATGAATACACCTGCCACTGCCTATTCCTGTTTTTCCATGTTAGGGGAAATAGCACTGAAAGAAGGGATGGCCAAGGGTGATACAGGTGCTAGTTCTGAATGGAGAATTCGTTTGAAGTTCATGAGATGGTGGACTCGATAGTCAGGGAGTCAGTGATTGATTAGACTAAACCTGTCCAGGTTAACATATCTTAGTAAAAATGGATATGGCTTAAAAAGTGTGTAAAAGTTGAATTCAGAAAATGAATTGCTGAAAAACATGTCTTCCTTCTAAGAAGCCAGTAACAGTCTATATAATGAAGAGCTCTTTGGTAATGTGGGTCCTTCATTTTATGAAGATTCGTTAGAGAACTCTCTATTTTTAAAAATCTCATTTGTAAGTTAGAATTTATATATATGTGTGTATATATAATATTGCATATATTAGTTGTAACATAATAAATTTATATTTATTTTCCCATAGTGAAACCCAGTCACTGTGATTATCAATATAATGCTTATTTTTCTCAGATACTGATTTTATTCTCTGGTTAGGTTATAAATATTTCTTGTATTTGATCTGAAACATTTCATATGATATTTTTGTGAGGAGTCAGTAATTTTATGTTTGATGTGACTGTAAGTTTTATGTTGCAATATTTAGTATTTTTATTAGTAGGCTCAAATATCAACAAGACTTTTTTTTATTTCCACAGCAAGATGTGAGTGAGTTTACACACAAATTATTAGATTGGTTAGAAGATGCCTTCCAAATGAAAGCTGAAGAAGAGACGTAAGTTACCATGAAATTTAGTGATGGAGTTTTAGGAGACTGATAAATAACACTCATTTTTTTCTCTTTTATGTATCAGTGTCTATGGAGAAATAGAAAACTGAGAGATGTATGGGAACCCCAAATGTTACCTGTATTGACAAGTTGTTTGAAATTTGTGGCCTAAATTCTGAGTAGCTTTAGATACCTACTGTAAGATTAGAATCTTGCCAGAAGATCTAAAAAGCAGCCCCTGAAAGGGCTAATCCCACATGCCCAGGTCTTTTCCTTGGATTCAACAGTCTCTTTTTCATGAGGAAGAATGGGTTAGTGGTGGGGCAAGATGCCAGGAGTGTTACTTCTGATGAAGTCCTTTCAGATGGAATCAAAATGACAAGGATATGAAGTTCCTCAATATTTTCTAGCTTTTTATTTTCTGTCCATCAGGTTGAACCAATAAGACTTTGGTTATTTAAGAAATCTGCATACTTTTAGGATGGTCCTACTTCCGTTCCCATGAGGCCACTCTCCTGATACCAGCCATTGGTTCCTTTGTGTATCTTTATAAAACATTGGTGGATCATTTACCACTATAGGTTCCGATGTGATCCAACAAGATGCAGGTAGTAGACCTGCCTCGAAGGTCTTCTACCTAGAAGACAGGTAGAAATCCAAGGCTGAAAATTCTCTCCCTTCTCTTTTTTCTTATTTTTAAATTACAGCCAGCTTTACTGTTCGGGAAACATCATTATAACAGGTCTGCAGTGAGACTAAATTAAAGTAAAAAATATTCTACTTATACAGTGTTAATAAGAGATACCTCCAAATGTTAATATAGATCTAGACTTCCTCCTTTCATTCTCCAATTCTCAGGTGAAAAGTAGGTTCCTATATTCCCTTGAGGTTTTTTTTTTTTTTTTTTTTTCTGAGAGAGAGAGTGAGGGTAGGGGGAGCGACAGAGGGAGAGAGAATCTTAAGGAGCCTCCACGCTCAGCGTCAAGAGTCTGACACTTTGGGGCCCCTGGGTGGCTCATTCGGTTAAGTGTCTGACTCTGGATTTCAGCTCAGGTCATGATCTCAGGATCGTGAGATCCAGCTTCTTGTCGGGCTCTGCAGTCAGTGGGAAGGCTGCTTGAGATTCTTACCCTCTGCCCCTCCCCTTGCTCTGTGCTCATGAGTATTCTCTCTCTCTAAAATAAATAAAATCTTAAAAAAAAAAAAAAAAGATGCTTAACCAACTGAGCTTCCCAGGTGCCCCTTCCCTTAATCTTTAAGGTAAGTCCAAAGAAATTTTATATTTGAAAATCAGATTTTTTTTTTTGCCTTTGTGGTTGCAGTCTAACAAAAAATAAAAGTCACTTCTGAGTTTCTAAGTTTGTTCAGTCTCAGCTATAGGCATGTTATTTTTGTGCCTGCATAGAGCGGGGATTCTGTAGCCGGTTCCCTCACTTGGGTGTGTATAGTTCCTTCAGTCCTTCAGATGGTCAGTTTCGTGCACTTGAATTCTAGATTTCGGAGGGTTATTAGGACACACATGATTAACATTGAATGGTCTCTTACGTTTGAAATTTTAGAACTAAAGCAAAACTTCAACCCTTTAGCTCTCAGTCCAACTATATAATATTCCCAGAACTTTGTGCAGTCCAGACTCAAGTTGTTGCCAAAGTCTGTAGCAGAAATTTTAGGATATGCTATAAACAGCAAATCATTGGTTTTAATTCTGCCTGGATGCCTGTCACTGAGGGCCAGTTGCTTGCTGACAATTATATGTGAACTTAAACTAAGTTGGGGGAAATCTCTGAAGAGATTAATTATGATGCTATGTTTACAGTGTTTGAGGAAAAAAAGTTGTATTTTTGCTAAATTTTGTCTTGGAATGGGGCATTTGAAAGCTGCTTCCTTTCTGGCATGTTTAGAAGTTCATGATGCTGACAGCTCTGGTCCTCAGCTTCTTTCTTGTCCACCACAAGTTTTAGTTGCATTTTCCTTATGAGCTTCTTCAGTTTGTGGCTCTGAGTGCTGCACTGAGTGACTTATCTTTGTGCCACACTGGTTGTGCTCATTGCCTTTTGCTGTGGAATTGCTTAGGCCTGGGAAACCCTCCTCTTAGGTTAGTTTCTTACTTTTCTTCATGTTAGCTTCTCTCTTCATGTTACTTTCATCTGGAAAACCTCCCCATCAGATTCCTGGCATGAATCTGCTGTTGCTGCATATGAAAGCTGAGTCCCAGCATCCAGTGAAGAGACACTCTTTCCTCAGCTTTTGCATATTCTGGGCCTAGAATATATTTCTTTCTGCTGCATTTTTTTCTGGGTGGCATATGCCAATAAAGTTCACATGCATACATATTTTTTATTCCTTTAGGGAAGGATTGGCTGAATTTTTAAGTTTAACCTTCTTTAGCCTCTATCTCATGCAGAGCCAGCCCTGTTTGATGGATGCCTGTCTTTTCTTCCTGTCTTTTGGGTTGTTTTCTGGCCTTTACATTTGTTTTTCTCTAATTTGCTCCTCTGATGTTGTCTTGATAGGCTCCTCATAATGAGAGTTAGTGATTCACTAATGAGAGTTGTCCACCCTAGTTCCTCTCTAGTACAGCTCATGTCCCTTGTATTTTTCCTTAGAGTTCTCATACCAAAAATTCATTGCGTGTGTTTCCTCAGAGTGTGAACAGTATCTGTATGTATCTTCATCTGTGATAATGGAGTCTTTGAGGTTTTCTCAGTAATTCTTTGAATGTTTTACCCGGAAATCCCTAGTTCCTCCTCTCAAATCCAGATTTTCTATAAGCACCTCATTTAGTGTATCCTGTCTTCAATACATGACCCCCAATTGCTTTTTATCTGTAGCCTCAGAAGAGTGCCTAAATCCATGTTCCTTCTGAGGGGTCATTTTATGCTGGTTTTGGAGATATTGCTTATTATTTATTTACTTGTTAATTTTCTTTGGGTTCTAGTCACCTCTTTGATCTAGTAACTAACAAATTATCTCCCTTTTTTTCTAAAACTGTTTTAAAAGAAGCTAGAACTTTTCCATTCCAGTTCATCTGAAATCTTAAGTTTATTTGAAATACGTTCTCCTTGTTCATTTCCCCATCATTTTCTGTTTTTTACTGTTTGTGGAGCTAAAACTTTTTTGTTGTTGTTGTTTTTAAAGATTTTGTCAGAGAGCGAGCGAGCACAAGGGGGGAGCGGCAGACAGAGGGAGAAGCAGGCTCCCCGCTGAGCAAGGAGCCCGATGTGGGACTCCGTCCCAGGACCCTGAGATCATGACCTGAGCCGAAGGCAGATGCTTAACCGACTGAGCCACCCAGGCATCCCGCTAAAACTGTTTTTGAATCTCTGTGCTCTCCCTATGTAGAACAGAGCTTTCCAGTTGGTGCACCATGGCTAGCCAGGTTATGGATTGTGGAGATACTGATCCTATTTCTGTGACCATGAGAAAATATATTTTTTTACCTTAAAGTTCTCTGCATATGATATATATACCAATGGTATTAAAAAGATTGGGAGGCTCTGACCCAAAGCATTCTAGTTTGCTCTATCAGCTACCCTAGACCTTTGAACTCCTTGCCAACCTAATTCCCAAGGGTGGGATGTCCCTGATACAAGTTTTCTGTAGTTATTTCTTTTGGCCTTTGATATTTGTGTCAGTCTGTCTTTACTACTGCTTTCATGTTAATGGTGGGTCTCTCTTTTTTTTTTTTTTAAGGTTTATTTATTTTAGAGAGTGGGTGCATGTGCGAGTGAGGAGAGGAGCAGAGGGAGAGTGAGAGAATCTCAAGCAGACTCCCCCCTGAGCGTGGAGCCCACCGCAGGGCTTGATCTCAGGACTCTGAGATCATGACCTGAGCCAAACCAAGGGTGGATGCTTAACCGCTGAGCCACCCAGGCACCCCTGTAGATCATTTCTATTATAGGAGTCTCGTATCTTTTCAATTGCTCTTTATTTGTATTTCTTATGTGTCTGTTGGCATAACCAGTCTGGGCCCCTGAGATTCACAGTTTAAATGCCAGATGAAGAATAGGACCTCTTAGAGGTTGGAAAGAAGGACAAGGTAAACAATTTCTGGAAGATTCCTACCTGACTCTTTAGGGAATGTCTGTTTACCACAGACCAGTGGAGAGGAAGCTAAAATTCGGGCAGGAAGATTTGAGAAGAGCTTTGGAAAGAAAGTTCAGAATTTGTAGAGCCACTCAACATTCGGTTCCTTCTGGTAAAGTCACCAACCTGTTAAGTCATCGCTCTTCACATGTGTGTGGCAGTAAGGGATGTTGATTTTCTACATTAAAATAAGAGGCCATGGAAAGGAGATTCCCGCTAATATTTACATCTAAAGATTCATAGATTTTTACGTCAAGAGAGACAATCTTTGGATCGTTCCTCCCGCTCATGTCAGTCTCAAGTCCTTTTTACTCGCACAGTATAAGATACATAAGGTATGAAATAAATTTTTCCCATAGGGTTAAAATGCCCAAAGAATAAGTATATGTAGTCGGAGAGGATACATTGATTTTGGAGTCAGATTTGAGTTCACGTTGCAGCTTGATTTCTTACCAGTGGTGTGAATTTGGGCAAGTGACTTAACTTGCCCTACAGCTTTATTATCAGTAAAACAAGTAATTGTGTACTACCTATTATCAGTCAGAGTGGGCCAGATAGTCCAGTGGCAACAACCCCCAAACCTTACAGGCTTATATCATATTGTTAGATGATGTGTCCAGTGCGTGTGAGCAAGGGGCCTGCTCATTCTTTCATTCAGGGCCCTCGGTGACAGACGCTTCCCGTCATCACCACTTCTGGGGTTACCTCGCCAACGAAAGTACACTGGCTCTCAAAGTTTCTACCGCACATCACTTGTGCTCACATTTTGTTGGACAAAGCAAATCATGTGGTCTGCCTAACTTGAAAGTGAGTGGGAACACCTTACACCCATTAGGATGGCTACTATCAAAAAACTCCAGAAAATTGCAGGTGTTGGCAAGGATGTGAAGAAATCGGAACCCTTGTTCACTACTGATGGGAATGTGAAACATCATGGTGGCTTCTCAAAAGATTAAAAATAGAATTGCTATTCGAGGGAGGGAGTCTTTTCACAATGTATATGTATATCAGATCATCATATTGTATGCTTTAGACTTTGTCACTTATGCCCCATAAAGCTGAAAACAAGATTAACCATATGATCCAACAAATCCACTGCTGGGGATATACTAAGAATTGATAGGATCTTGAAGAGAGATTTGTACACCCATGTTCATAGCAGCATTATTCACAATAGCCAAAGGGTGGAAAGTACCCACTGTCCATGGATGAACAGATAAACAAAATGGGGCATACATACAGTGCAACATCCTTAAAAAAGAAGGCAATTCTGACACATGCTACAACATGGATGCTATGTTGTGAAATAAGCCAGTCACAAAAAGACAAACACTGTATGCCACTTACATGATGTGTCAGGAGTTGTAAAACTCAAACAGTGAGTAAGAACAGTGGTTGCCAGGGCCTGGGGGGAGGGAGAAATGTGGAGTTGTTCAGTGAGTGTAGAGTTTCAGTTTTACAATATGAGAAGACTCCTGGAGATTGGTTGCACAACAATATGAATATACTTAACACTACCCACCAAACACTTAAAAATGGGTGGATGGTAAATTTTGTGTTATGTGTATCTTACCACAATTCAAATTTTCAGAATTTAAATAAAATGTGAGTGGGAAAGTACATCTTAACCATGTATCTGGAAGTAGAGGGCCAGAAATCTTTTTGAGTATCACTAACAACTAACATCCTACCTCAGAGTATTGTGAGGAGTAAGTGAAGTGCTTCTCACCAGTTGTTTAAAGGAGTAAATGATGATGCAGTGCACTACATTTATAAAAAGACCATATCCTTACGCCCCCTTTTTTTAGCAAATCGGTTTTACTGGTTTAAACACAAAATTCATGAAGATAAATTCTGTACACAGTTGTGGATACCACACAGTTTTATGTAGTAATGCCAAGATAAACTGTTTTCAGACCACAGAGAACAAAACATAAAAAGAAAAGGTTAAAAAATTGTTAACTTCTGTTTGCTTCAAGCGAAAAAAGAAAAAAAAAACATAACGTGTATGTTAAAGAATTTGGAAAATTCACAAATGCCTAATCATGCCTGTAGCATGAAAAACGGAGTAGCCCCTGAGCTGCTTTGGGTCAAAGCTAGTGTGCTCCTTCATTGGTGGTAGCTGCTATTTTTGAATGGTGTGCACTCTTCTATTTAAATGTGGGAAATGACACGTTAAAGTTTTATAGAAATGTACTCCAAGAGTGGCTTTTCTTTCTTCCCAGCAAGTCCAAATAAGCATGTATTGTACAGACTAAAAGCGTGAGATTGAAATGCACAATGGTGATAGAAAGATCAGGTGCTCCATGAACACAGACTGTGTCAGGTCCTCTTGTAATGTCATTCCAGGCAGCAACTCATTTTAACACTTAAACAGCCCTTTGAGTTCAGTTACTATTATTATCCTCAGTTGACAGGTGAAAAAATGGAAGAATAAGTTTAAGTGCCTTGTCCAAGGTAATGTCAATAGCGCTGAATGAGTGACAACAACATAAATGTTACCATCTTGGCATGTATTGTTGTTCTTTGAATGTTTTATTACTTACAGGTCCAAAAATTATACCACATTTATATTTTTTACCATGCTTCAGGGATGAAGAGAAGCCAAAGAACCCCATGGTAGAGTTGTTCTATGGAAGATTCCTTGCTGTGGGAGTACTTGAAGGTATGGTTACACATGTTTACTCTTGATGACATTTGAAGAGATACTAGCTTTTGTCTTGATAGTGACTCCTTACTTGTTGAATGGTTTTTAATTTTAATTTGATTTACTCTGTCTAGTAGTTCCTGTTGCATTGCTACTACTAATCATTTATGAGAAAACATTTACTTGAGTGAATGAAAAAGAAGGTACAGGGTGTATTATCAACATGCTAATTGATAGTTATCCTGATGTTCTTTCCCTGAGAAAACTTCTGTGATTCTGTGAATTGTTGGAGTACAGGGAGTTAAGGGGGCAGTTGGTTTTGAAAATAACATTGGAGTTGAATACTGGTTTTGGTAGGATGGTTACTGTTTTTGAGGGTTTCAACTGTATGAATGTTGAAAGCTGCATTTAATAATTTAGCAATTTAGTATAGTTAAGGTATTACATTTCTCAGGTGATTATAAAATTCTTTAGGCTCTAGTTTTCAAGAAAGAATCATACTCTTATCTTTTGAAAAATCATTTAAGAGTGATACTCCTCCATCTATCCTAAATGCCTATTACTTAAAATCTGGGTCTGACCAGATTTTTTTCCTAATAAAGGGAAGGGAACTGACTCATTAAATATACTTCAAATAATAATAATTACTAAATGCCAAAGCATGAAGTTTTGAAAAAATTTGGAACATTTGAAAAATTTTCCAAATCTTCCGAATGGCCCAGTGCATCAACTTTTGGAAAGTTAGTCCAAATCACCTGAAGTATAAAATTTGGAAAATTGGTTTTTCTTCAGTATCTTAAGTAATGGATTCCTATGAAGTTTTGTTTGAATATAATTTTATAGTTTGGGATGCAGAAAAAGGCAGATAATAACTCAGGATTTAGTCAGGCATTTAAAATGTTATACTGAAGTGTCTGTACTTTTTTTTTTTTTTTTTGCCTCAAATGCTAAATATTCCTTATATAGAATATTTTACATAGGACATTACTTTCCAATTTGGGATGTCCATACTGTGTATACTGATTTTTACTTGAAGTAGAACAGTGTATTTGAAGCAATACAGTAGCTCTAATCAGGTGATGACTGTGCACTATTTATATTCTTTCTACTTGTGTTACCTTGATTCTTAAAAGTGATTTATTGAAATAATTTGTCAATCAGTGTTGAAGTCCTTGTACTGGATATTAGTTGTTTCAAACTATTGTGCGACATAAATGTGGTTTTATTTATTTATTTATTTGTAACTTTTTTTCATTCTTTTTTTTTTAAATTTTATTATGTTATGTTAATCACCATACAGTACATCATTATTTTTGATGTAGTGTTCCATGAGTCATTGTTTGCGTATAACACCAAGTGCTCCATTTAGTATGTGCCTTCTTTAATACCCATCACCCGGCCAACCCATCCCCCCTCCCCCTTCCCCTCTAGAACCCTCAGTTTGTTTCTCAGTCCGTAGTTTCTCAAGGTTTGTCTCCCCCTCCGATTTCCCCCCCTTCATTTTTCCCTTCCTGCTATCTTCTTCTTTTTTTTTTTTTTTTAACATACAATGTATTATTTGTTTCAGAGGTACAGACAGGTCTGTGATTCAACAGTCTTACACAACTCACAGCGCTCACCATAGCATATACCCTCCCCAATGTCTATCACCCAGCCACCCCATCCCACCCCCCGCCACTCCAGCAACCCTGTTTGTTTCCTGAGATTAAGAATTCCTCATATCAGTGAGATCATATGATACTTGTCTTTCTCTGACTTATTTCACTCAGCATAATACCCTCCAGCTCCATCCACGTTGTTGCAAATGGCAAGATTTCATTCCTTTTGATGGCTGCATAATAGTCCAGCGTGGTGTATTAAAACCAGGTGAACTCTGTATTTGCTTCAGTAAAAATAATTTTCTTTCAAAGGCTTTCTTAATCACTTTTACATACATCTTCCTAATGCTTTCTTTTAGACCAGCAACTCTCAATTGGAGGTGATTTTTGTTTGTTTACTAAAGTGCTCTCATTGCAAAAGTTCCTCAACTTTTTCCGAAATCTAGTCCATTGACCCCTTCATTTTGTTCCTCTTGGCCCTTTTCTTTTCTTCCTTCTTTGCCCATTATGATCATTCTTATACACATCTAACACTCCCCTTCCCCCATTCCCTCTTTGGCTATTCTCTGACCACCACTGAGCTATTCATCTCCTCTCTCTGTGCACTGAGTACCTGACTATTACTGGGGAAGATTCACTCAAATGGGCTAACTAAATGGATCATGAATTTGTAGTAGATAACTAAGCTTCACTGGTCCGAATCCTGTAACACTACTGGCAGTCATACTTGTTTTGTTAAGTCACTGTCTTCTATCCCATTTTCTGCAATAATGATTTTTATCTTTTCTACTTCTAATCTAACTTCTCTGGCTCTTCATTTTCTGAGAAAGACCTTTCCACAGATTTTATGGATTTGCCATGAAGCTAATGAAATCTAGCCGTAGGCCCTAAGGTCCTGAATCTAATTTTGTGTTTGTAATTTTGTTGTATCATAGTACTTAAACACAACTTTCTCAAATAGGTGAGCTTCAGGCTCCACAACCTCCATCCGTTCGTACCTGTACCACATTCTTTTTATTCGTCCCTCCAGATAATAATGAATTATTCAGTCTTCTTTCAGAAGGCTGTTGTTTATATGTGCTCAGAATCTCATCCCTGCATGCTTTCACTCAGACCCGACTCTCTCCATTATCTTGCTTTTTTCTTGTATCTTCAGCTTCGCCCTCTCCTGTCTTCCTCAACAGTATTTAGACATGGTCTGGTAATTCACATCTTAAACAAAAAAGAACTCCTTTCACACAGTCTTTTTCAGTTAATCTTATTCAGTTAAGCCACTTTCAGGAGAGGAGTTTGTTTTTACCTGCTAAATCCCCATTATTCAACCCATCCCACCATTGCTTCTGGCCCCAGACCCCTTGTAAAAGGGATCTTTCTAAGGTTATCCATTTCCAACATGGGTTCAAGGCTGCCAGATCCCACTCAGTTCTCATACTGAACTCTTATCAACTATTCATGCTATTTACTCTCTCTTCCTTTTCCTCTTTCCTATATTTGGTCCTTAAAAACACTTCCCTGGCTTCTGTGGCACCATTTTCTCTTGTTTTTTTTTTTCCTGCTTCTGTGGTATTTAAAGCCTCTTCTTTCACCTAGAGGTAGGAGGTCCTTGGGCCTCAGCTCATACCCCCTGCCTTGTCCTGTCTGCCAGTCCCCTTGGCAGTCTCATTCACTCCCTTGATTAACTGCTGTTAGTAGCCAGCGATTCTCTCAGTTACAGCTTCAGACCAGAAGATTAATTTTAGTTACAGACTCATATCCAACTTCTTCTTAACTTGAAATCCCATGGGCCATTCTAAAACAATGATTGCTACTACTACCTTAAAACAAGTGGAAAAAAAATTCTCCTCTTGCTCTTTAGTGGAGCGCCTTTCAAGTCAGTTGTTCATGATGGAAATCGAGTATCATTCTGGATACATTCCTTACTCTTCTGCCTCCCATCTTGCCAGTGAGCCAGCCACCAGTCAATCATATTTATTCCTTCCTGAATATGTGTATAAATGTCTGTGTAATTTGTTCTGCTTTTGTACACTTTTACTATTAACACCATATTCCACACTGCCTTTATTTCTGGATGGATTCTATAATAGTCTCCTATCACCCACTTAACACAGAAGCCGTAAGGATGTTTCAGAGACATGAATCTGATCCTCTTATTCCCAGGTTTAACTATTCACAGTGACTTTCTGTTAATCAGAATATACTGAGAAAAAAAAATTCTTAACAAGGGCTTATTATAATACTTTGTAGATTTTGACCCCCTACCTAATTCTTTATTGTCATCTTCCCATTGCTATCCTAAGTTATAATGTCCTCCCCTTAATTCTTCAAGCAGGCCATGTTCTTTGCATCCTTAAAGTCTCTGTGTGTATTATTCCTTGGCCAAGAATTCTCTATAGCACCCTGACAGTCTGGCCTGGCTAACTCCTACTCACCATTCAAGTCTCAGTGTAAATGTCATTTTGCTATGGAAGTCTTCCCTGTTCTACCCTCCAGCCCTACAGACTAGGTTAGCTCTCCTTTTTATACCCTCTCACAGCACTGTCTCACCACACATTTTATAACACTTAAAAGGATAAATAATTTTTTGTTCATAATTATATATACAGTTGATGTACATATAATGTAATGCCTTTCTTCCAAAAGAGGCTGAGAATTTCCTCAGCTCAGGGACCATATGTATCTCTTTTGTTCACTGCTATACATATTCTTAGTGTTTAGCATAGTATCTTGTCCTTAGGAGGTATTTTTTGAAAGAATATATATACACACACACACACGTACATACATGTGATTACTTACATAAGGTGTGTAATTGATACGTATGGCTGGATGTGAATGTGCATATGTGCATGTATAAACCAACAAGGAAATGACAGCGAGTACCCTGTGGAACATAGAGTGATGGTTTTCAGGTTCAGGAGGTAATTCTTATACACATTTACTTTTAGTGGCTAAAAGGCCATATTGAATAACAGGTAACTTTCCCTTCTCCTATAGGTAAAAAATTTGAAAATACTGAAATGTTTGGTCAGTACCCGCTTCAGGTCAATGGATTCAAAGATCTACATGAGTGCCTAGAAGCTGCTATGATTGAAGGAGAAATTGAGTCCTTACATTCAGAGAATTCAGGAAAATCGGGCCAAGAGGTGAGTTTAGCATCTTCACTATTCCTCTCTCCCTAGGTCTTTCTTAACAGTGTGGTAAAGCATAATTTAGGGCCCTAATTATATAGATGCCTAATAACTGAGAGAATACTCAGATTATGTGGTTGGATTTAATTATGGTAGTTTAGACATTTGGGAAACTGGCACAAACATGTCTGTAATCTATGTTAAATTCTCACTTAACAATTTAGCTTAAAAATTTCTGTTAAAATCCTCTTTTAGGATACTGTTGAGGCTGTTTAGACGTTTTAGGGAAGGTACCAGTCGCTGTAGTGTGCTAGTCCTGGAAGTAAAAAAGAAAAACACTGAAATTAGGGTGGAATTTTGTATAGACATATGTTACTTATATCAAATAGTGTTGGAATTTGTCTAGATTCCTTTTTTTTTTTTTTTGTAAAACTGCTGTATAATTGCATGAAGGGCAGTTGGAAGAACTTGCTTTTTCAAGAAAGAAAACTTAAAAAATATAAACCTGTTTGTTTCCACTGGTCTCTTGTCTTGCCACCCATCTCTCTCTCTTTATTCATGTTCTTAGCTTCATCTGTATATCCATCCACCCACACATATATTCATCCTTATGTGTTACTATAATGGAAGGCAAAGGACAGACCATTTCCTCCAAAATCAGTTCTAATTAAGCAGTTGCTGATAGTTGTCTACTTGTAAGTTCCATGCATGAGGGTAGGGATCTTCATCTTTGTCATTCTCTATTATATCTCTAGTGGATAGTATGGTGACTGCAAATAGAATTACATAATACATATTTATTGACTGAATGAATGAAATGTCTCAGTGTTATCAAAAACGTTTCTGAGGACTTTATCCCCAAATGGGTGCTTAATAAATGTTAGGTGATGATATCTCTGTTTTTCTAAACAGGGACTGAGTTCTTGTGTCTTTGAAAATAAATTGCTTTTATCTGAATATGTGCTTTTTAAAAAAGATATAATTAACTCTTTCCTGTTGTAACTTCATCCTCATTTCCTTCTCTTCCCTTATACACCCAAACAAAAAAAATAAATTACATTTACTATTTTCTGGCATTTTTTTTTTAAGAGGGGGAGAAGGGAGGGAAAAAGAGAGAAAATATTTGAGATAGTTTTTCTCTCTGCATCATAGATCATCTACATAAGTGATTCTCTGCAGATGCCTAGGCCCTACTTCAAAGCTGTCAAATCTGAATATAGGGTAGGAATGTGGTACTTGGGCCCAAGAGCTCCCCCAGTGATTCCCAGATAGACCTCCAATTAAGAATATTTAAATTAAGCTTATTGGTTTTACTGATTGGTCTCTAAAGATTGGGACTCTCTCAGCATCCCATAATGGAACAGGAAAGCAGACCCCCTGCCTAAAGTGTGATCTCTTGGGGCGCCTGGGTGGCTCAGATGGTTAAGCGTCTGCCTTCGGCTCAGGTCATGATCCCAGGCTCCTGGGATCGAGTCCCGCATCGGACTCCCTGCTCAGTGGGGAAGCCTGCCTCTCGCTCTGCTTCTCTCTCTCTCTCTCTGTCTCTCATGAATAAATAAATAAAATCTTTAAAAAAATAAAAAATAAAAAAAAATAAAGTGTGATCTCTTTTCTATTGAAAAAAGGATGGGTTTGGGCAGGAAAAAGAGGGATGGCATTCTCCTTACACTATCAGAGTAGCTTGTAAGTGAAATATACATTGGTTTATTGGTAAATAATCTTTCTTATGTATTCCCAGCTTTTAAAAATGTTTTTCTTATGTTGAATCTGAATTTCATTATTTATTTAAAAAAAATCTAGTTTGCCCTCCATCTTTGGCTTCATACCCTGAATGCCTGTATATATTTTCTGCCTAGGTTTTTACACCCAGCCTAACAGATACAGTGGTTTGTCTCCTCTGAACTCAGCAGTTTGTAAGCAGTCTTAATAAGAGCAAATTCATTTACCTGTATTCCTAATACTAGTTGCCTAGATTTGTAGGACACAATAGTTTCAATAATAATTCAGCCTGGTTTAAGAGACTATCACTGGCTAAAGTTAGACTATCTTAAAAGTTTTTAGTAGTGTACTTAAATTATCGTCTTATTTCATTATGTCCTTCAGGATAACTGTTCTGTTTCTTCTTAAGTATCTATAAACACCAGTGAGTAACATTTTAGGCTTGTTTGTAAATTAACATTGTCCCTGATGATAACACCTTTTATCTCTTAAACTATTATTTAGTAAAAGTTACTGATTTTACTTTGATACAGGAAACATCTCTTTTGCTGAAATAGCTCTGGTTAAGTAATTTAGGAAAACCTCTAGTCTCCTGAATCACTCATGTTAAAATATCCAGTGGCCTATAAGAGTTTAAATTTCTGGAATGCCATACCAAGAGACAACTGAATAAATTAAAAATGATTATATGTAAGATAACTACTTATAAAATATTTTTCTAAATTACAACTTTGAACTAAATGGTGTGGAATTTATAGATGGATCAAACTTTCTAGGAAACCTGGAGATTTTTTTCTTTTTTTTTTTATAGAATTTTTTTTTGAAAGATTTTATTTGAGAGAGAGAATGAGATAGAGAGAGAGAGATGAGAGGGGGGAGGGTCAGAGGGAGAAGCAGACTCCCTGCTGAGCAGGGAGCCTGATGTGGGACTCGGTCCCGGGACTCCAGGATCATGACCTGAGCCGAAGGCAGTCGCTTAAGCAACTGAGCCACCCAGGTGCCCCGAGATTTTTTTTTTCTTGATTGCCTATTGGAGCAAAAAAATTTCAGGTAGTGAATTCTTTACTTCTGGTGTGGGTATTCACTACTAATAATTATTGTACATTTTCTTTTAGACTATCACTATGCACATATAAGTATTTGTATTTGTTCATACTGTCCTGTGACTTGCATTTTTCACTCACCAGTATATCACGAGCATCCTTCCACATCAATATATATGGCTTTACACCATTCTTTTTAAAACCTGCATAGTATCACATAGCCTGTATTTCTAAAATTAAATTTATTTCATTCTTCTGTGAGACGGTAGTTGGACAAAGAATTATTTCAAGGAATGTCTTTCTATAAATACCCTTGAGAACTTAGGAATGAAGGATAGTCAGAAGTGGAATTTTTTGGTCATCAGGCCTACTCATTTAAAAATATAAGTACGGCCAAATTTCCCTTCACAAAGTTGTACTAAGTTATAATCAAAGTGCTAAAAGAAACTTTATGGAACTTTAAAAGCTAGAGAAACAGTACCTACATGTACCATATTAGATATATGTAGATGTTATATGGGAAATTTATCTTTTAGAGTAAAAGGGCAAATGGGTGAACCCAATTAAATGACTAAAACGAATTTTCAGGTTGGAATAGGAACTGTTTGCTTCTTGTGTTTGATTTATATCCTGGTTTTGTTTGATGTTCTGTGGCAATTTGAAATGGTAGGTCTGAATTTTCTGTCCCCTGCTTCCTGCATTCATATAATCTCACAAAAGCAAAGTATTTAAAACATATTAATAAAAAATCTGCTATTACAACTCATAAAGATGATTAATTCTCTCTGGAAAATATTTTTGCTAAGTTAGATTTATAGTCATAATAAGTTTGAGAGCACTTTTGTTGCCCATGTTGATTATGTTTTTTTATTCACTAACTGCCCTAATCTATTACTTCTGTAGGTTCATTATATAATATAATATGATAATAAATAATAATAAAATGTTTATAGAGACATGGAAACTATAAGCATGATACTTACCTTTAATGACCTGTGTCTCACAGCATGGCATACCAGTTAGAGAAGCAAATATAGTTTTTTATTGAATGGAAAAATAGTATTTTGAAAGAAGAACATCTCATTGTTGTATATTTAAAATTCTAGTTATATACTGCTATACTTACAATCCTAAAATCACAGAGCTAGACAAACCCATAATATTTTCTAAGATGAATTAGGGGAATGTCCGGCTATCTCTTCCTATCCCCATCAGCTTTAGAATAGGAAAGTGAAATCCTTCCACTCCTGTAGGAAAAAACTGTCAGTGCTGTTAAAGGGAATACATTCACAACAGAGACATAGTACATAACTATTATGAACATTCTTTCTTAAGGTATGGAAGTTATTTCCTGGACTTTTCATGGTCTACCAAGAAGGATACCCCCAGTTTGGGTGATTTTATTTCTATTGGCCATGGTAGGTTTCCATGAATTAAAGTATGTAACTATTTAATTTTAATGGTGACATTGAAAATACTGCAATAAAATATGAAAGTGATAGTTCTTGAAACCTACTTACTTATTTTCGTATCATAAAATGGAGTAGAGAATATTATCCTAAGGCATCAAAAGTTTTCTTTGTGATATGTTTGGGGTATGTCTAATTCTTAATACTAATTTTAGGTGTGTATTAGAATTAAGTAAAATTCTTGCCAGTGCCATGTGAGAACAAAAAAAATAAGCAGACTTTGCTCAAGAAATTTCAAAACTTAAGAGATTCTTCTGATACTAGGTCTTTTTTTTAAAATTTTATTATATTATGTTATGTTAATCACCATACGTTACATCATTAGTTTTTGATGTAGTGTTCCATGATTCATTGTTTGAGTATAACACCCAGTGCTCCATGCAATATGTGCCCTCTTTAATACCCATCACCAGGCTAACCCATCCCCCTACCCCCCTCCCCTCTAGAACCCTCAGTTTGTTTCTCAGAGTCCATAGTCTCTCATGGTTTGTCTCCCCCTCCAATGCCCTGCTTCATTTTTCCCTTCCTACTATCTTCTTCTTTTTTTTTTTTTTTAACATATAATGTATGATTTGTTTCAGAGGTACAGGTCTGTGATTCACCAGTCTTACACAATTCACAACACTCACCATAGCACATACCCTCCCCTGTCTATCACCCAGCCACCCCCCCCCCCCCCCCCCCCCCCGCCACTCCAGCAACCCTCAGTTTAAACTTCAGTTTTAATAGCCATATAAAACACATTTCTTAAACTTTGACTTTTTGTTAAAGATAAACCAAGTCTAACTCAGGAAATTTCAATTCACATAAGCTTTAGCATTTTGGGAGGGAGAAATCGTTTTGAATAACCATTTTTATTAGCTTTATTTCGAGAAAAGTAGCAGTTTTCAAGATCTTAGTCAAATCGAGTTTGCCAAATGTGTACTATTATTGCTTTTTTTGGATGTTTGAATTTAAATTAGTGTACTCTTAGCTAGTTGATATTTGTGTGGTGGCCTTTTGTGTCACTTGAAAATATCACACACAATGTAATGTATGGCAATTACTTTTTACAGTAGTACATTATGTGGTTTATAATAACCATTTAAAAATATTTGTTAAATTATTTTATACTTCTGTATTTGGTGATTCATGGGTTTTGGTTCATTTCTCTTTAAAAATATGTTTATGTAGGGGCGCCTGGGTGGCTCAGTTGTTAAGCGTCTGCCTTCGGCTCAGGTCATGATCCCAGGGTCCTGGGATCGAGCCCCACATTGGGCTCCCTCCTCGGCGGGAGGCCTGCTTCTCCCTCTCCCACTCCCCCTGCTTGTGTTCCGTCTGTCGCTGTGTCTCTCTCTGTCAAATAAATAAATAAAATCTTTAAAAAAAAAAAATATGTTTATGTAAACCTGGAATCTTTTTTCTGAAAATAATTCTCCTTTGTAGTTTTACTACATTTCATGCTTAACTGAAAAGTTGCCAGTTTGTGGAGGAATTGGCTCACAGCAACGAGGCAATTTGTTAAACATTAGTCATTTAAAAAGATTTTAAATATAGTTACCATTAGTATAAACTCCATATTAGTAATAGATCTTTTTCTTAAATTAGTCAGAATTCCAGTAGGAAAATTAAATTTAAAACAAGGGAATATCAGTTTCTAGTTTTTAGTAAGAATTGTGATCATTTATGCTGTAAAAACAAATTTGTGTGTGTGTGTGTACTACATCTACAAGTTTCTTTGTCAAGGTTTTTGAACTATGGTTGATGAATAAGTATATGTACCATTCTTGGTAGTAATAGTTACATAATATTGAAGAAGCCAGAAAATTTGAGCTACTAAGCCATAATTTTAACTAATGTCTGTCACTTTAGGTTAGAAATTTTAATGTAAAAAATTATTGTGGAAGAAGGAGAGTTGTTAGAATTTTTTTTTTCCCCTGGTTGGGTATTATTCCCATCCTTGGAATTTTCAAGAGGTGTGGAAAACTTTTGGGAGGAAGTTGGACTTTAACTAAATTGCGTACCTTGTCATGTGTCTGTGGTGTCAGCATTGTGATGATACATATAAAAATGCCAGGGCTGACACCATGTGCCTAATAGTGCAGTGGAGGAAACAGAAGGTGATAGTAAGGTTTTTTATTGTTTTCTTTCAGCATTGGTTCACCAAACTACCACCTGTGTTAACATTTGAATTGTCAAGATTTGAATTCAATCAGGCATTGGGAAGACCAGAAAAAATTCACAACAAATTAGAATTTCCTCAGGTGTTGTATCTGGACAGGTATGGTTTGGTATACAGCATGACTTAGTTTTGAAACTGTTTAGTAACCAAGTAAAGTGTTACTATTATTTTGCTTAATTTCTTTAGAATTAATCTTTACTTTTTTGCATAATACTATTTGTCAAGGAAAATGGAGTTCTCTTTCTATTTAGAAAAGTATAGTTACTGGGAAAAATGTTATAAGGAAGTTAAAAATTTATTTTTGTATTTGGTATTGCAATTGTTAAGAATTTTAAGGAATACTCTTGTGTTGTCTGATATTTCACTGTAAAATTTTAGATGAATTGATCTTTCGTTGTGTTGGCTAGACTTAATATTGTATCTATTTCCATGTTATTTAAAATGGTAATGTTGTTGTCTTTTTCCTGATAGATATATGCACAGAAACAGAGAAATAACAAGAATTAAGAGGGAAGAAATCAAGAGACTAAAAGATTACCTCACAGTATTACAACAAAGACTAGAAAGGTATTGTAACTTTTAGGAAATTATGAGCTAACTATAGGAAGTCATATTTTTAGTGACTCTCTGGAATCTTTCATTTTAAATTTGCTTTGAGTGATTTATAAATCTAGTAGTAATCACTCTGGATTCATATTTTGCTTGTATAGTTGAGTTCTAAGTTTGTTAGAAACTAAAATAATTCATAGTTAGCATTAGTGATTATCTTAGTGTTTAAAATTAAATATTTTCATTGTCCACTGGTAATGCTCATGGTGCTGAGAAGACGTACAAAGTTAAACTAATCTTAAAAAAAAAAAAAATCCAAAAAAAAAGGACCACCTGGCTGGCTCAGTTAGTAGAGCATGCGACTCTTGATCTCTGGGTCGTGAGTTTGAGCCCCACATTGGGTGAAGAAATTATTTAAAAAAAAAAAAAAAAAGTTAAACTAATCTAAATTTTAAGGTTTCTTCTTGTATGAGATTAAACTTCACTCTTGAGATTTCCATTAAAATGAATGGTGACTGAGTTTTTCTCCTTGATACAGAAGATACAAACTCACATGCCTACTAGGGCCTCATGGAGACTTTATTAAGGAGAGAAGCAAGTCAAGTGTAAGCTGGTGGGCAAGGGGAGCCTAGAGTGCATATCCCTGTGGAGAGGGAGTGCTTACCATCTGCACTAGTGGGTGGTATCATGTGTGACGCCATGTGTGAATATCTCTCACTGTTTTTGATAGTTTCCCAGAAGACGCTGGAATCTAGACAGTCAAGTGTTCTGTAATTCAGACAGAAGTCTACAGGCTGAAATGTGGCCTGAGAGATCCCAGTTTGCAACCTCTGATTAATCTGTATTTTAGTATTTGTTTTAGTATTAATTTGAAAATTAGTAGCCCCAAACTTTTTAAACAAAAATAATGTATTATTATTTCAATAATTTTTATTTCTAAAAGGTATCAGTAATCATATTAAAACTAATCAGAGGTAAAAAGGTAGGAGGATAATATTAGTTACCATCATTATCATGAGACCAGATGACAGATCTAAAAATAAAAATAGTCTCAGGAAATGGAACTGTCAGTTTTCATTTTCCTATTGGGTTACACCTTAGAGCAGCATTTAAAATTTGTAACAGGATACAGACACATTCAGTTGTAATCAACTTTGTTTTCCTTAATTTGGAGAACATTTAAGTTATTTCTTGAATGTATCTTCAGTTTTAACATCTTCATTTGAAAGCAAAATTAATTGCATTGTTGAAGATTTATTAAAGTGTTTTTATCATGTTTTATAACAATTATTAAAAACAACGAAATGTGCTTTATATACAACTAAAAGCATGTATGCATTTTATGGTTAACAGATATTTAAGCTATGGTTCGGGTCCCAAACGATTCCCCTTGGTAGATGTTCTGCAGTATGCATTGGAATTTGCTTCAAGTAAACCTGTTTGTACATCTCCCGTTGAGGATATTGATGCTAGTTCCCCACCTAGTGGTTCCACACCACAGACATTACCAAGGTAAAAAGTTTTCCTGTTTCAGAGCCAGCTATGTTACTTGTATTACATAGTAATGTAATTGATGCCTTTAAAGAGGGTTTCATAAAATGCACATTATGATTTATTTTAGTGGACTCTAAACATAATTAGATTCACTTAGAAGATGGTGTATATTCTTTCTTAGTTCACTGTTTCAATAGATTTTATGGTTGTGGATTGAAATTTTCATATTTTTTTCTGTTCAGAATTATGTGTTATTTTGGTATAGATTTCCACCTTTTATCCACGAAAATATTGTTAAGTTAGTTTTTCCTGTAATGTAAGCTGATCAGTATTAAATAATTCTGGTATACATAAGATTTATTGAAATGATGAAACTATTTCTTCTATAAAGCCACAATTTCATCCTGATAATAATGAATTTCTCATATATTAAGAATCTCATTGGATATTAAATTAATCCACATATTTCTCTCTCTCTTTTTTTAAAGGCTTTTTCTTTTTGAAATTATAAGCCAGTTTAATGCTATGTGTTTGGCACAATTTTTATCCAGAGCTTCAACTTGGAAAGTTTAATAATAAATATTTTATGCTTTAAAAATATAGCACAACAGAACAACAGGGAGCCCCTTCTTCAGAACTGCCAAGCACATCACCTGCATCAGTAGCTGCGATTTCATCGAGATCAGTAATACATAAACCATTCACTCAGTCTCGGATACCCCCAGATTTGCCCATGCATCCAGCGCCAAGGCACATAACAGAAGAAGAGCTTTCTGTTCTAGAAAGCTGTTTACATCGCTGGAGGACAGAAATAGAAAATGACACCAGAGGTAAGAAGCTTCTCACAGCAGAGCTACTGTCACCTCAGATGGATATGTATAATATTAAAATTAAGAAGGGAAATCACCTTTGGATTTCATATGTAAATATTATAATGTATTTTTTTTTCCTAGAAAGTGTTTTCTATAAGAGAAATTAGCCTGACTACCTGTTTTTATGATCTTAATATCAGATTCAGAGAGACCAACAGATTTTCTCTGGACTACTCAGTTGATTAATGACATAGCAGATGGTCTGATTTTCTCTTTTAATGCTCTAAATTTATATCAAACTGGTATTCATAGCTACTCCATTGGTGGAACCTCATGCAATTAAATTATGTATTTATCAATTATATCCTCTCCCTAATGTTTGTGTAATGAGTTAAAGTGATAAAACTTTTTTTTTTTAGATTTAAGAATTAGAAATGTGAATTTATTTTTTTAAAATATTTATTTGAGAGAGAGAGAGAGAAAGAGAGAGCATGAGCAGGGGGAGAGGGAGAAGCAGACTCCCTGCTGATCCTGGAGCCCAAGAACCCAGTGCCGGGCTGGATCCCAGGACCCTGAGATCATGACCTGAGCCAAAGGCAGATGCTTATCCAACTGAGCCACCCAGGCACCCCAGAAATGTGAATTTTAATTTTAAATCTGCTCTAACAGAGATTTCCAGATATGATCTGTGAGCTCAGTGCCAGTCTGTAAATGTGTTTTAACTGGCATGTAGCAAAATAAGAAAAATGAGGACAGTGCTATGTGGGGAGTATGAGTGTACACGTGTGTTGTGTATATGTGTTGGTGTTAAGTTGCCATCTGGCCTCTCTTGGAAGGGACTCTCCTTTATTCTGAAATTATATCTTTGCTACTTTACTGTTTTTAAAATGTCCTTTTTCTTTTTTTAAATGAAGCGATGTTAGTATTTTATGATAATTTTTCCTTACATGGCAAAATATAATAGCCTATTGCTGTCACCTAATTTTATCCTATGAAAAAAGAAAAATCTAGGAGCTACTCTTTTATACCAAAAGATTGGAATTATTTTAAACAATATGGATTGTTGGATTTTAGATGCCCAACTTGACTCATTATAGACAATATGTAAATAAAGAGCAGTCCTAATACAATATAATGTAATGTAAATAGGGCATGATGGCAACTAACAGTTCGCATTAGTAGCTGTAAATGTTTCCCTTAGTATTTTTCATATATAAGGGAATATTTTTACATTTGAATTCATTAGTAAACATTTATTGAGCACACTGTGTTTCCTGAACACTGTACTAGGTATTAAATAATTTTTTACTGGACTTGGCAGGTTGTGTTTGTTTTTATAAGATTACATTCTGAAGGGTGGAAGCTAGGAAGCTTTTGACACCAAGGTAGTGGCATTGAGGGAGGAAAGAAATGAACGGATATGATCTACTCTTTGGAGAAAACTGACAGAGGTAGGTCATTGACAAGAGGAGAGAGAAAGGGAGGAATTAGGGACTATTCCCTTAGTTCCTCATGCTGGTGTGAATAGATAGATGGAATGGACTTTGGAAAAGGGCAGACTGGTGGGTGAGCAGGTCTCCACCTCAGGGGAGGAAGTAGGAATAAGATGAGTCCACTTTTGGCCATTTTAAGTTTGAGGAAATTTTAAGTTTGAGGAACTTGAGAGACATTCATCTGATAAGGGTAGGAACTTTAATACCTAATACTTTGGACCGTAGTAATACAATGGATTGGGTAAGATTTTCCTTGGAATATTTGTTTCTTCTCTTTTATCCCTGTTGTTAGCTGTTAACATTGTTTTTTAAACTATTGTATAATAATAATAATAATTACATCCTACACGTAGGATGTAATTTATTTAATTTCTATATTGATACTGCAAATAGTGCTGACCTTCTACATACATATTGACACACTTCTGTGAGTAGGATATATTCTTAGAAGTGTCATTTATGGTCCAAAGTGTATATATTTTAAATTTGAACTGTTTTAAAATTTTCCCTCCAAAACATTGAACCAGTTTTTAGTCCCACTAACTGTGTGGAAGAGCCTGACTCCCAACATCTTCCTTAGCCTTGGGTACTTTTTAAAATTGTGGTAGCCTGAACATTGAAAAAAATGATATGTTAGTATCTTAATTTGCATTTCCTTAATTTTGAGTGAAATTCTGTTTTTCTATAAATTTCTTGTGACATTCACCCATTTTTTATATCGAACTATTTATCCTTCTCTTAATGCTCAATAGAAACTTTGATATTATGGGTATTAACTTGTTGCCTATAGTGTTTGCTGTAGATATTATTTTCTTAATTGTCTTTATCATTTGACTTTTTTTGGTGTTGGTTTTGTTTTGTTTTTATAATGTAGATTTTCTTAAGTTTGGGGAGAGAATCTTATCTTTTCCTTTATGGTTACTGGATTTTCTGTCAGGCTCAGAAAAAGGTCTTTCCCCACTCTGAAGTTACTGGTATTTTTTCGTAGTCTTTCATGGTTTCTTCCCAATTCTTTTCAGTGGCTTCATAGTATAGGTTATACTATAATTTAACCATTTCCCCATTAATAGGTGTTTAGGTTGTCTCTAATTTTTTTATTGTCATGGGCAATATAGCTGTGAATAATTTTGTAGAATGGATTTCTACTGGAAGTAGAAGTAATAGGTAATGGGAGTTTCAACATTGTTTCCATTGGTGATTGTGGTAGATTTTTATTCAATGACATACATGTATATAGAAGGTTTATGGCAAAGTTATTTTATTTCATTCCATAGTTTTCCTATTTTAAATAAATATGTAAGGGGCTTTATGTTCCATTTCTATTGACATTTTTCCTTTATAGATTTGAATAAAGTTCACCTATAGGCTCGGCACATTTTCTAAGTGAATCATATTTGTTTTGGTTTTTAATTATGCACTTGTGCTGTATCTTTTATTAAGGAGAACTATATTTCGTTTTATACAGACTCCAAATAGTAATATTTCTACGAACAGTTTTAGGAATTTTTCCTTATTCCTCTAACATATTGGTAGGAAAACCATTAGTTACTATCTTATGTCTAGTAGAGATGTACTTGATGTTAATCATTTTAAATGACATCTTCTATCCTTAGATTTGCAGGAAAGCATATCCAGAATCCATCGAACAATTGAACTAATGTACTCTGACAAATCTATGATCCAAGTAAGTTAAATTTTAAGTTGGTAAGTACTGTCAAAATTACATATTTTTATTTGTATGATTAACCTAATTCTTAAGCTAATTTTTCCTAATGTTTTGTTATAAAATTGCTGATCTTAAAGATTCCATATTAACATTGAGTTGTATTCTCATAGTATATTTATTGTTTACTTTTTTTATTATTTTACAGTAAAACTTAGCAAAAATTTTCAGAAGGTCTTAGTGTTTACAGAAAGTCCTATGGGAGAAATTATATGGTTATTTAAGAATGTTAAGATGGGGGGAGAAGTACAGGGCTCAGTTACATTTTAACTTTCGGTATACATTATGTAGGCCATATTGCTAATTCAGTCATCAAGTTATAATTGTGAAGGTTTAGACACATCATGTACTATATATAAAATATTCATCATAAGTTCTTCATTTGAAAGAAATACATTTTCAAAGTTTCAAAAATATCCTATTTATACACCTGCTTTACATGTCATTAACTTATTTATCTCCCCCCTTTTTATTTCGTAGTGTATTTTTTTCAAAATTGTAATCACAGCCAGTTTTCTGTGGTATTCTTCAATCAGATAGTTTATGGGTTTCATGGAATGTGGTATTAATAGACTGCTTAACTGTGGCTTAACTATTCTGTTTTCATATTTAGGTTCCTTATCGCTTACATGCTGTTTTAGTTCATGAAGGCCAAGCTAATGCCGGGCACTACTGGGCATATATTTTTGACCATCGTGAAAATAGGTGGATGAAGTACAATGATATTGCTGTGACAAAATCATCATGGGAAGAGCTAGTGAGGGACTCTTTTGGTGGTTATAGAAATGCCAGTGCATACTGTTTAATGTACATAAATGATAAGGCACAATTCTTAATAAAAGGTAAGCACATGAAATATATAGGGTAGTCTATATTTTTAAATAAGTAGCTCTTTTATGTGACGCTGGTCTCTGGTGTGATTATTTAAGTGTAATTGACTCAGAGGGTGATGGTTATGATTAGGAAATGCGGTTGGCTTATTCTAAGTGAGAAACTGGAATTGAAGAGTAATGTAATCAGGGCTGACAATTGGAATATTTTGTATTCAAAGTTAACTATTTAGTAACTATTATAAAATGCAAATCTGACCTATTTCTCCTTGCCAAAATCCCTTTAAGGACCACATCATGCACTGACTCATATTTAAGCTCCTTAACCTAATATATAAAGGCCTCCATTTTCTGGCCTCTGTCTTTCAAGCTTCATTTATAACCATTGTCCATTTCAAACTATATATACTTATATTTTGAACTGCTTGTTGTATTCTCTTCACACCAAATGATTGCACACATTTATAACTTTAGTTTTTATGTTTTTTATTTTTTGGAGGGAATGTTCTTTTTTCTTTCTTCTTTTGTCTAATTTCTGCTCATCTGTCAAGATTCAATTAAGGTGTCATATGCTCTGCCAAGGTTTTTTTTTTTACCTCTACCAGAAAATACCTCTCCTTGTGTTCTCATAGCATACCTCTATGGGGCACTTATGTTTGTTGGAATTGTATGCCAACTTGTCTTTTCCACTTCACTCTAACCTTCTCAAAGCCAGGGACCATGTCATACTATGTCTTAATCATTTTATTTCTTATATTCTAATATAGGCTTTGCATGTAGAAAGTACTTAATAAAGTTTTGTTGAAACTGATAAAAATCAACTTTCCTTTTGTGTTTAACCATTCAGCAGCACTAGCTAGGTGGTCCACTTATGATGGAAAGCTACAGTGTATTTTGTATGTGTGCCGTAGAAGTTCAGTAACTCTCTTAAATACTACTTCTGTAATGTTTTTGAAAATTTTGCTATATTGATTAGTTTTCAAATTGCCTGTAAGTATATTGCTATGCTTAACTGCTTTGGATGAAAAAGAATTTTAGTTCTGTTTTGAGTTTAATAAGGTTATGAGTTATTCTCATTTTGCGATTTTTATTTTATGAATAAACATCTAGTATTTTCTTAAAATAGAAAATGTAGTACTATGTCAATATTTGAGTAGCAAATGATTTTGGCTTTATATCCTGTTCTGTTTTTACTCTCTTAATCTAGAGATAAAAAAAAAGCTGAGAACATTTCCTATAATAGATTATCAAATATTTGCATCATTGCTTATCCAAGCATTTGAGTTTTCTTTTAATTTTTAATATTGATTTGTTAAAATGGTAATAATTCATGCTTTAAATCCCATTTGAAATGCATCCTATTTTGAGCTTTGCATTTTTCCTTTAATTCTTAATTTTATATTAGTTTTTGAAATATGATTTGCAGAGGAGTTAAATAAGGAAACTGGGCAGGCTCTTGTTGGAATAGAGACATTACCACCGGATTTAAGAGATTTTGTTGAGGAAGACAACCAGCGATTTGAAAAAGAACTAGAAGAATGGGATGCGCAACTTGCCCAGAAAGCTTTGCAGGAAAAACTTTTAGCATCTCAGAAATTGAGGGAGTCAGAGTCTTCTGTAACAACAGGTTAGTACATTTTGATTAAATTTTATTTTATTATCGATTTATTTATTATTGATATTTTATTATAAAAATAAGATATCCTCATTTAAAAAAGAAGTTTATTATGTTAAAGTGTGAAGAAGACAGTAAAAATCATCTGAAATTCCATCACTCCTCTGAGTTGCCACAGATAACAATTTAGTTTACCCCTTTGCCAGGCACTGCTGTATTCATATATACCTTTTTCAAGTTAAATGAGATGATTCTGCTCTTTCTCTGCCCATCCTACCCATTTTGATTGGGTCTGACCCTTCTTGGCCAGAAGCTTAGAAAAGCCATGAAAACCAGCAAGTAGTCCAAACCTTTTCACTAAAGCTATTGAGAGAGTGAACTTTAGTAATTTCCCATTTGAACAAAATAGCATTATTGGTATATCTGTATATATTTTGTATAATACTTTGTAATATTTTGTGTAATTATGCTATTACTATAGAGCAGTTATTTGATTTTTTCAGAATTTTTAAAATTAAAAAATTAGCTGAAACTAAGTATTTAATATTTAAAATATTCTAAAGTTATTAGTTGATGAAATCAATAAAATGTTCAGAGTAAACAGTACAATAATAAACATGTTCTAGCAAAATTGAAAATAAAATGTCTTATGATTTTTTTTTTTAAAGATTACTTTCATCATCACAGAGTTGTTAATATATTTTAGGGCGACATATTTTCTACTGTGAAAAAGTGCTATTCCTCTGTACTAGTTGGAGGAATGGCAAGAGATAAACACAGATATTTTTGTCAAACTCATTTGTCTGTTTTATAACTCTGAGTGGATCTTTTTGAATGGCCTTTTTATGCAACATCTGTGTGTTTTGTTTTTTTATTTTTTAAGAAAGCATTTTAGAAAAAAAAAAAGCATTTTAGATGTTTGAATTTCATCTTTTACAGACCAGTTCCCATACAGCAGTAATTACTTTGGTGAATTTTAGCATTATCATTTGAACTTTAGAAGAAATTATTCTCTCAATGGAAGATGTACAGTACCACAATTTGGTATTGTGAATAAAGCAGGCACACACATCTGTCCAGACTTGTTAACTTGTTTTCATATAAATTGATTAGTTGAGTCCTTGATCTTGATGTTAACACGCATTGATTCAGAATTTTCAAAAGACCAAGATAATGGTATTATACCAACAAAGATACCAATATTATGATACTTAAATGCAATATAGTATATCTGAATGCCACCATTGTACTGTGGTAAGCTCTACCATGATGCAGGACTGTATTTCTTTCCATACATTAAGAGCCACTTTGTAGACTACATGAAAGTCTCTGGTTTCACAGTAATGCAGTTTCTTTACAGTGACTTTGTCTACTTCCATAGGAAATGACTCAGTAGATATCAAGAGATTTTTGTACTCAAATCACAGTATATACATTATAATTCTTTTCATTTTTGAGCCAATTCCATCCCTTTGTGATTTCATCACTTGTCTTCAGTACATATCCTTCTCAAACGGATCCCCAGAACTTAACCCCAATGGAGCTACTTTGTTATACTTCCACTAACTTTTATGCACACCATTTGCATGTGTCTGTTCTTACCTTACTAGTGGGAGGATATGGCTGCCTAATTGGCATAAGTGATATTCATACCTAAGCACTCAGATGAAGGTGAATCCTACATTCATTGGTTAAGCTCCAACTCTATTCTTGGCTCACTTATATTTTGTGGCACGAAAATATTAAGTGCTGTACGGTCTCCTTCTTTTCATCTTTCTCTCACAAGACTAAATTTACAGACTTAACACATTTTATTTCCATTCAAACTAATACATATTCCCCATTAATATTGCTGTCTGAGAGGACTAGACAACTTTGCCCTCCCATTTACACTTGTTATCTTATATTCTCTCTGTATAAAAGGCCACGTCTATATGCCCCATACCCTTTATCCTGATTAATACTTCCTACCATATACTTTAAATGCTGTTTTGTAATTTAAAAAAAAAACCAGGAGTAGGTATTAGGCATATATTTTCATGTCTTTCTTTTTAGTATTTAAAAAAAGTACTTGAGGATGGAGATGTATTCCTGAGAGGAATCAGAATAACTAAAAAATAAAGAGACAGAAATGGTCAACTCACATATAACTGTTATGATAATTATCTTCCAGACTAGGTTTTTAGAAAGTAGTGGCAATAACTGCCTGAATTGGAAACATTGTGTCCCCTATAGAATTGCTAGAAGCATACACTTTGAGTTCGTAGGAATAGAATGTGCTAAGTCTATAAATTTGGGGAGTGAGACTATTGTTTAAAAGATTGGTTTCTACTACTGTATTATATATCCTATTAAGAAGTCCATCCTCTGTTGCAGGGCAATTTAACATACCACAGTTGTATAAGGGAACTCATTAATGTTTATTGGAACCACTTATCTCCCCAATCATTAGTAGAGAAAGTTTACTTTAATGCCCATGTCATCTTATTTCTCTTCACAGTTTCCAAAGTAATTTGCTCAATTTGGTATAATATTTTCAGCATATTAAAGAGAACCTATATTTAAATCTCTCAGGTGTGCACTAGAATTACGAGTGACTAGTGGAAGTGATACGAGGAAATCTTAATAAAATTCATCAGAGTGATTTTTCTTTCCTCAAAAATCTTTTCAATAAAGCTATAACGTGAGAACAATTAAAATCAGTTTCTTCTGAGTGATATTCCAAATAAGAATATTGATTTATATAGTATTAATTAAATGAGTATTTGTTCCACTTCTGCTTACATGTGACCAAGAAATCCATAGAACTCACTTCTCTAGTACCATTCCTTGTCTTACTGAAACTAAGTAATAAATGATGGAACCAAAAATTATTTGGTCCTTTTCATGCTACCTCCTTAAACGTGCTTACTGCAAATAAAAACTTAACTGAACACTTATGTTTAGAGATCTGTTCAACAGTTCTTTACTACGGTGTATACGGTCTATACCTGGGGAATTTTTTTGTTAGTATAAACAGCACATTCCACCTAAATAAGATCACCTAAGACTTAACTGGGATCAGAACCTCTGAAGGAAGGGTCCAGAATATATATTTTTAAAAAGATCTTCAGATAATTCTGAGATGTACCTCTGGTTACACAGTATGGCTCCAAGCTATATTTATAAAACAGAGAAATTATTCAGAAGGAGAGAAGAGCTTTGCACTTTTACTTGTGTTTCTCCTGTCTTATTCAAAAACTTTTTTTAAAGATTTATTTATTTGAGAGAGCACGAGTGGGAGGGGAGGAGTGTGAGGGGGGTGAGGGGGGAGGGAATCAAGCAGACTTGCTTAACCAACTGCACCACCCAGGCACCCCTAAAAACTATGTTTTTTAATTTAAATTTTAGTTAGTTAACATGCAGTACACTATTGTTTCTGGAAAAACTGTTGAAGTCCTCATAACCTGTGTAGCATATCTGATTTTTTTTGAAAAGGTAGAAAAAATAAGGTAAACAGGTTGATATTGGTATGGAATGCATTCCGTAAGATTTCATAAATTTACCTAGAGGGGGCTTGCAGAATTGGCTCTGGGACTTCTCTACAGATACTGTCTGCAAGTTAAAAACAAGCTGATATTCCAGGAAAGTACAGCTGGTTCCTGAGAGTAAGACCAGGTAGAATGTACAATATCATCAATATTTCTCAGGTTCCTTTAAAGCAGGGACTGAGTGACGTTCTTATTTATATCTTCAGACTCTAACATAATAAATGACATATGGTAGATGACCCTTGAATGTTTTCTGAATTGAATTCATTTCCTATGGAGATTCCAATAATGAGTTTCCTTTAAGTGATCCTCATTGTATGGGACATTTTAAAAGTCTAGCCAAAATAATGATACATTAGAGAAGCAGGCTAAAAATGTGTGGTACAGATGTAGCACTGTCCTAAGTAAATTTTGGGTTTAACTCTGGTTCCTAAGCCTCTACCCCCCCCGACATTCCCACAATTCTGTTTGTGATGGTACCCCGGAAATTGAAGTCTTAAAAGTTTCTTTCGTGATTCTACGCAGCCAGCCTACCATGGCTCTTTATAGGCTGCTTTTGGGGAATCGTTGATTTTAAATATATTTCTAGAAATGAATGTTCTGCATCTCTTTGAAGTAATCTTCTTTAAATAGTCTTCTAAATGTGAATGTAATAAGTAAGACTCCTCAGTAAGGCAAGGTATTAAATATTTCTGAAAGAGGAGATGTTGCTCCTTTTTCTTTTTCTTTTTTTTAAATAGTAGATTTAAGATCCTGGGGGTGGGGATAGGGTAACTGGGCATTAAGGAGGGCACGTGAGGGGCCACCTGGGTGGCTCAGTCAGTTAAGCGTCTGCCTTTGGCTCAGGTCATGGTCCCAGGGTCCAGGGATCGAGCCCTGCATTGGGCTCCCTGCTCAGTGGAGAGCCTGCTTCTCCCTCTCCCTCTGCTGCTCCCCCTGTTTGTGCTCCTCTCTCTCTCTCTGTCAAATAAATAAATAAAATCTTAAAAAGGGGGGGGCATGTGATGTGATGAGCACTGGGTGTTATACGCAACTGATGAATGATTGAGCTTTACATCTGAAACTAATGATGTACTATATGTTGGCTGATTGAATTTAAATTTTAACAAAAAGAAAAAAAAGGTTCTTATGCTGTAACAGAAAGCCAATTGGTTATTGAGTTAACTCTCCTCTTAAAATGTTGAAGAGCATAAACAGGAAATATACACAAGTAGAACACTCCCAAGCCCTCCCAATCCCTTACTCACTTTGAAGGTGGACCAAAGGAGCAGGTTCAGAGTACTCGTAGAATGTTGGGTCTTCTTTAATGTCCAAATAGGTGAATGAAGCCTCTACATCATGAACTAGAACATGGCTGGAAAATCTCTTATGTGGAGATAACCATTTAAAAATCTCAGTGAAGTACTCATAGGACGAATAAATGATGTGAGACACTTTAGATACAGGGATATTATATACCTCCGTAGAATATTGGTAATCACCAGCTGTATTCCAAATTGAAGCCTGAACAATATATTAAGCTGAGGGACCAATTAGTATATAATTATCTGATTTTATTGGGAGTTCTTAAAGTGAGTGAATTTTATGTCAGTTTTCTTCATTACTAATATGAATGGCGCAGGCTCAATAAACATGCTGGCTGAAGTTTGGGTTTTTGTTTCTGAACTCCCAGATGTTAAATCCTCATAGGTTCACCTAGTGACTACAGCACCACTCAAATGTCAGTTCCCTGGAAGATATATACACAAGGAAAACTCTAGAAGAAAGTTCTGTTGTATGACATTTAGGCAAGATCATTCAGCATTACTCATAAGTTTTTTGGACTCAAATCCCTATGTGGAAGGGAATCTTGACCCTGGGGACCTAAGATATATTTTACTGTATTGATCAGATGAAATTACTTTTGTTCCTAAGGACTTATTTTACATAGACTATCCATGTTTCAGTGTGTTAGACCAGTGCCAGACCAGATGGATTCCTTGGCCCTCATTGCATTAAGTTCACATCCTGCTATCAGCTGGAGTTATAGTGTAAAATTTTCTTTACCTTATCCATCCATACAGGGCACTGAAAGAACATTGCAGTACAAAGTCAGGAAATACAGAAGTGAGGGCATTTGACTTCTTTAAAATTCCCTCCTGTCGTACAGATGTAAGCATTTCTACCTCTAGTTTTCCTTGTCATAATAAATTTTACCTCCATCATCCTAGTTACTCATGACAAAAACTTAGTCATCTTCACATCAGCCTCCAAACCTTTGTGTCCAAAATACATCTTCAATCTTACCAATTCTCTCTACCTCTCTTGCTGCTTCTGTTGTCCAAAAGCACCACCATCTCTTGCTCATATTGTTCTGGTACCTTCTAGTACTTTCACGGACCTCTAGTTTTACTTTCCTCTCTAATCCATTCTTCACGCTGGAACCATAATAATTTTTTTTAAAACTTGCCACACTGCAGGGCGCCTGGGTGCCTCAGTCAGTTGAGTGTTTGCCTTTGGCTCAGGTCATGGGATCGAGCCCTGCATCCGGCTCCCGGCTCCCTGCTCAGCAGAGTCTGCTTTTCCATCTCCCTCTGACCCTCCTCCCTGCTTGTGCTCTGTCTCTTTGTGTCTCAAATAAATGAATAAAATCTTAAAAAAAGAAAAACAGCTTGCCACATTGCCGTTGTATTTATCCTCAAAACTTAATTAGACTCAAAGGCCCTTTGATTTTGCCCCTGTCATCTCTTGCTATATCTCTCCTCTCTCCTTAATCCAGCCACACTGGCCTTCTTTCAGATCATACTTCCGTCAGGGATGATCAACCCATCATCCTTCAGCTAAAAAGTCAGTTTATCTCATATTCCATAATCTGAGTTATCGCTCCCCCATTTTATTCCTAGCATGTATTATTATAATATTGTCACAATTCACATGTGTGATTCTTTGATTAATGACATTCTCCATGGTTGACTCTAAACTTCATGGGGTGAGAGACTGGCTGCTTTGTTCATACTGGGAGTCCCATTGTCTAGCTTAGTGCCTGGCACATAGTTAAATACTTCATTAAAATTTATTGGATGGATGTATTCCCATGCATTTATAGTATGCAATTATAGTATTTCTTATTGAATAATATTTCACTTTGAGAGTTTATTTTTTTTTTTAAATCAGGTATCGAAAGGATGGCAATAGTCCTGTTGTGTCAAGCCAGTTGGTTTGGAAGGGCTCATTTAACCAATCCCAGTAACACTGTAGAACATTTTAGTGTACTTTCTTATTCCTTTTATCCGTTACTGATTAATTCATTTGTTCCATTAAGTTATTGTGTGCTTATTGTATGCTAGGTGTCGAAGAAATAGCAATACAAAAAGGAGATAGCATCCCTACTCTTGAGATTCTTAGTCTAGCAGGGGATATGGGCTTGAAACAAATATAATAATTAAGTCATAATTGTGGTAAAGTGCTATTAAAAAGAAAGAATAAGTTACTTTAGAGCAGTGGTTCTCATTTGAGAGTGATTTTGCCCCCCAGGGGACATTTGACAAACTGAAGACATTTCCGGTTGTCACACCTGAAGGGACAGTACCACTTGCATCTAGGGGGTAGAGCACAGGACCACTCCACACCAAGGAATCAAAATGAACCAAAATGTCAGTAGTGCCAAGAAGCTGAGAAACCCTGCTCTAAAATTGTTATAATCAGGAATACTTTTGTAAGGAAGTGTGATTTAAACTAAAAGACATATAGAAGTTCTTAGTTGGGAGACTGAGAGTGGGTTGAATATATAGGCAGAGGGAAGAAAATATGGAAGATCTGAAGGTTGAAAGGAAAAACCTGTTTTTTGATGTATTAGATAACCTGGAAAAGAGCATAGAGCACAGGATACAAAGTTACGTTGGAGAGAGAGGCAGAGGCCCACTTATATAAAGCATTTGGGGTTGTCTGTAAAGCATCTAGTGGGATGTTCAGAGTACATTGTTGCATCGATGGGTCTGGAGCTCAGAGCCTAGATGATAGATGAAACTTTGAGAGTTCTTTGCAAGGATGGTATTTGAAGTCTTGAATTTATATTAGTATCGGTTTGCCAGGTTGCAATTGTTTTTCCTCTGACAACACTCAGTTACCAGGGAAGGTTCAGAAAAGATAGAAGGCTGGGTTCATTCAGGGTTAGGTTTGGTCAGGGAGGTGTGAAAAAGGATTTTGTGGCCAGAGAAACAGCTGCTGTCTTCTCTGTGGAAACTCAGACCAGGCTTGTTATACACACTAAATCCTTTTTTTTTCTTTTCTTTTTTGGTAGAATGCTGATGCTTTTCCAAAATGAGATTTTAGTATTTATCATGACATAAAAATTTGCTATGAATTTCTAACCATAGACTATGAGACAATGAGTATTTTCTTCAGTAATTGACTAGTCTTGAACCTGATTTTTTTTGGGGGGGGAGGGGTTAAATTCTGGGGTAGGTGCTCTATGTTGAGTGGTATATTAAATAAAAGTAAAATTGGTTACTCTATAATTTGAATTAGAATTAAATAACAGATTCATCTTTAGATAGCTCTCTGTGATTGGTATTAGATACACAAATGATTCTTTTCTTATGAAGCACAAGCAGGAGAACCAGAATATCTAGAGCAGCCATCAAGAAGTGATTTCTCAAAGCACTTGAAAGAAGAAACTATTCGAATAATTACCAAGGCATCACATGAGCATGAAGATAAAAGTCCTGAAACAGTTTTGCAGTCGGTAAGAACTTTTCTTTTAGCTCTCTGAACATAGCCATCTTCATGACGTTTCCATCAGTGTAATGGACAGTAGCTACATGGGAGTCAGGAGAGACAGGGCCAAGGGCCAACGCTACCATTAACGTGATCAGGGACTGTGGGTGTTACCTAACCCCCAGACTGTAGCTCCCTCAGGTGTAATCTTTTTAAAGATGCTTTTTTTTTTTTTAAAGATTTATTCTTTTTTTTTTTGAGAGAGAGAGCATGAGTGCCCAAGCAGCGGGAGGGGCAGAGGGAAAGAGAGAGAATCCTCAAGCAGACTCCCTGCTGAGCGCAGAACCTCATTTAGGGCTCAATCCCAGGGTCTTGGGATCATGACCTGAGCTAAAATCACAAGTTGGCTGCTTAACTGACTGAGCCACCCAGGTGCCCCTAAATGCTTCTTTTTAAAAATAAATTTCGGTCTTCCTGTTAGAGAATGAGGAAAAATCATAATCATAGACTAAAGTGATCATTTGATTTGGAACTTAAAAAGAGAAGTATAAAATTTAGCATTATTTCTCTTTTTCCCTCACCCCTTTTTTCTATCTTTAGTCTTATTACATTGGAATAATTGGAAATATAAGGTAATAATTTTCATTGTTCCATGGAATATGTTTAGAAGTAAAATACTAGAAATCTAGGTTCTAGTATTATTAGCAGGATAAATGTGATCTTGCAAAGTGGTTTATGCATATTTCAGTAGAGTGTCCAAACAGAATTGTCATTATAACTCGCCTGTGTTGTAGCTCTCAATTGTGTCTTTTTATAGCAATAAATTGAATACATTGGTATTGTACTGTGTTTTCAGTGCATATGACCTTCTGAGAGATGTTATTTCACAAATTTCCTACTACAAAAACATTCAGTTGCTGTAGTTACTTATTTTTTTATTAGTGAGCACAAGCAGCTGTAATGCAGGTTTCTTGATGGTTAATTTTAGTATTTGAAGACTACCGTCCTAGAGAACTAAAGGGAACAGGACATTCAGTTTTTCTTTTTCTTTTTTTAAAATTTATTTATTTATTTGAGAGAGAGAGAGATTGAGAGAATGAGTGGGAGGAGGGGCAGAGGGAGAAGCAGACTCCCTGTGGAGAAGGAAGCCTGATACAGGACCATAGGATCATGACCTGAGCCAAATATGCTTAACTACTGAGCCACCCAGGCCCCCAGGACATAGTTTTTTAACACAGTTTTCTACTTAGTGAACTTAATCTCAACAATAACCTGCTAATTGCAATAAGGTCTTTAATATGATAGGACCTTGATTTACCAAAATGTTCAGTTAATGAGGTATTCTGTTATGTTTTGATGAATGAAATAATCAGAAATCACTTATTTCACTTCCTATGTGAAAAATTTTGATTATTATCATTTTACTATAAAAAATGTTTTAATATAGGTTTTTTTTTTATTATTCCAAATTTTGCAAATGTCCTGGAGATTCTAATGAGCTTGAGATGAACCCCTGCTAATTCAACTCTAAAGCATTCCTGGAAAATAGCTTCTTGTAATGGATCTGAGATGTCTAACTTCTTGGGGCGTGGTAGAAGAGGAAAACCTAGGGAGGTACAAAGGGCAGAGAAGTAGATACAAGGGAGAAATATTTTTGCCTGATCTAAAAATGTAATTTGCTTGGCCCTTTGCTGATTAGGAATTTTATTTGTTAAAGCCTACGTTATGGTTAATAAGTATCATCCTTTTAACTGTAATCAGAAAGCCAAAGGTATTATTTAGCTTAATACAGAAACATGATTTTTTTAGTTTGGCTAATCATGTATAACATAAATTTGCAGAAACCAGCACTTAAATGTATTTTTATATATAATAATATATTTATAATAATATATATAACTAATATATATATGAGTATCATCTTATAAGCCTACAGTCTACTGCTTCACCTTTGAGAAAGGAGGATGACATTGAGAGAGTATGATAGACAGCTAGCATAAATATTTTTCCATTTGGCATATCTGCTGGAGTAGCACCAACAGTTGGCCTGAGTTGTTTGTGTAAATCCTGCAGCATGTCTAAGAATATGTTAATCATGGCTATCTGAAGCAGCCTCTTCTTGGTCTCCTGATTAGTTGCTTAGGATTATAACCACATACTGGTTTTTCTCAGTTAAAGATATACCTTAGAAACTAAATCGCATACATGAAGAGTGTTCAGACTTTGGGATTAGATAGTCCTGGGTTTTTGAATATTGGTTTTATTTCTTACTAGCTATGCAAACTTGAATAAGGTGCTTAATTTTTCTAAACATTAGTTTGCTTTTAAATAAAATGGAGATCCTTGTGGGATTAAGATTATTTTTTTGAAGGTAGTGAGCATGTAGTACAGGTACTAAGCAGCTGTTAGTTTCTTTTTGTTACTTAAATACAAACCATTTCACAAATATACAATATATTAAGTTCCAACCTTAGCTTAAGAATTCCCTGGAAGCATAGTCATAGAGAGAGAGTCTCTAAACGTATAAAAAGCTTACTGTTTAGAAGAATGTGTTTAATTTTAAATGAAATATTTTAAAATTTCAAAAATACAAAAAAAGTATACTTCAAGAAAGAATCATGTGTAGTCCCACTACTCAAAGCTCTAATCACGTAATATGTTGGTATTTTTTTTTATTCTTATTTTTATGTACAGGTTTGGGATTTATTTTTGTAGCTGAGGTACTTCTGCATATACAATTTTGTTTATATATGCCTTTTCTTCTTTAATCATTTAACATTGTGACATAACTATTTCCCCCATGTTAAAAATTCTCTGTGAAAAACATTTAATGGTTGAGTATTATTCCATTGAGTGATCAAATTCTTATTTATGTACCCATTCCCCCACTGTATATTTGCTTCTACTTTTATATTATTATAAATAGGCTGTTAGAAATGAACTTTTCTCCATATTCCAATTTATTTCTTTAGAATAGATTGCCTATAGTTGAATTACTGGATTAAAAGGTAGGGGGTCAAGGTGGTTGTAGTTATATAGCTTTCTAATTGCCCTTTCATGAAAAACCACTTTTTAAAACAGTCCACTTAATGGATTTCAGGCAATTAATAAAAATCTTTGTATTTTAATTATTTTGGGAACGTTTATTAACTGAAACACTTATTAACTCCTTTCAGGTTTAGCTGTTGTTAAGGTGTTTATATAGGACCTGACAATAATAGAGAAAGATAAATACACATGTACTTTATTTTAATGAGTCCTCAAATTCTTTATATGGAAAATTTTTGTGGTACCTTAGGATATCTAAACTTGATGAATGATACAACAGAATTACTACATTCACCCAAAGTTTCTTTGGTTTTTCAACTTGCACGCATATAACTTGTCAGTAAAATGCTGTTGAAACTCTTCTGTGGTAACTGAAAATGTTTATTAAACATTATTTTTTCCTACGTGCAACTTTTTTTTCAAAAGCCATATATTGTTTCATAAGGATCAGTATGCTGATACTGATCAGTTTCCCAGTTGCTACTTAAATTTATATTCTTTCTTCTTAAGGTGGTATTGTTTTAGATTGATTTGATTGTGAGAAGTGTCTCACCACAAGGTCTAGACAGATCTCCTAATTTACCTGATCGAATTTCACTATTGTGGATAAAGACCAAACACATTTACTCTTCTTTTATATGCTAGAAGGATTTAAAATACTTAGTTGTCATGGGTTAATAAGCATATCTCTCTAGGTATGTATGCTAGTAATACTGGGTTATTCTATTCAAATACAAGCACTTTAAAGTAGCATAATAGTATTGTAATACTGGTAATACTTGTCATTATAGAACAACTAGTATATATGAGATACTGGATTAGCTGAATATTATCTCTCGTGATCACAACAACCTTGCAGGTTGATTATTTCCTCTTGAAAAGTTGAGGACTCAAAATAAGGAAACCTTTTCTAAATATGTTATGTTTAAAAGCAGCATTTCTTTTAAAAGGGACAGTGTCAGTCTTGGCCATTAGTTTTGTTTTATTGTTTAAACTCTTTTTGCGTATGTACTTCTGGAAAGTCATAAAATGTTCTCATCTCCAGAATTTACTTATATTTCAAATTGAAATAAACCCCTTTAATTGCTTTTATTAAAATTTTATGTCAAAACTAAAGTTTATCTTTTGCTTCAGAAAACCAAAGCTACAAATTGAAATTACTTAAGCAAGCTGCTTTCAAGCACCTTAAGTACTTGTGAAATTTGTTTATAGGTAAATAGTGACTATGCTAATTATAAATTTATTCAGTAGTATAAGATCTTTGTGAAATCTGGACAGAATTTTGGATGAACCATATTAGTATCTTTGAGTGGACTTTCTTGGATTTTGCACTGGCTTCTACTCTATTAGTGTGGAGTAGGGAAATTCATAGAATTTGTTATCAAAGAAGAGGATAAAGAGAAAGAATTCTGATTGAATTGTTAGAAAGGGATGTCACTTTACACCATCTTTTTCAGAAGCAAGAGTTCATCGGACACATACATAAATACATCGTACAATACATCATACAAGACTCTCGTAGGCTGTACAGAGTGAGTTAAACACAATAGAGTATGGATATAAATTGGATATACTATTAATTCATTAGAAAGGATAGAAAGGTAAAACCATAAGAAAGAAAACCTGCAAACTATCATGGGTTCAGATGAGGTCATGTGTTATTTTGATGGAGTTATCAAGAAAGGATTTATGGAATTATTAGAATTAAAAAAAAATAAAAACCTCAGCTGTAACTTATAGATAGCAATAGGAAATGCAACTCCAGTGTTTATTATTTTTAAGGATTTGGTGTCCAAGATGCTTAGTGGAAAAAAAAAGAAAACTTAATTTAGTGGTTGAGTTGTAAAAGGAAAGTTATATGTCTTATGTTATTACTTGATTAATGCTTTCACTTCTAATGTTGGTTTTAGGTGGTTTCATTTCATATTAAGCAAGTGCAGATATCTTTTAAAGACTCAGGAATCTCTGCCCTTTATACTTGGTACTTCCATTGTTCTCTTTTCTAATGTTCATACTAATAATTTTTTTCCTGCAGAAATCTGAAAATACCACAAGCCAACCACCTTCTAACCAGCAAGTTGTAGAGGTGGCGATTCCTCATGTAGGGAAATTCATGATTGAGTCAAAGGAGGGGGGTTATGATGACGAGGTACCTTTATTGTAGACCTCTACACTATTCCTACTTATCTTTGGCTATTTAATACACATACTTCGGGCATGCGTGCACCTTCACATTTATGTGTATTGCTGCATAACATACAGCTTGGCCACCCATGGTCTGAAATTACCTTACCAACTGCTAACAGAACTTTGAATTTCAAATGAAAATTTGAGTAGAAAGCTTATAGAATTTGTCAAAAGAATAATGTTTCTAGAGCTAATTCTTTTATGTAGATACATGATCAGTTTATTCTCAGGTTGATAGATTACAATAAGGTTTGTTTAATTAAATAGCAAAAAATTTGAACATTTAAAAATAATTTTTTCCTGTTTTACTTGAATTATGTATTATAATACTTTGCCTACTGTTTTCCTGCCAAAAAAATCCTACAGCCTGATTGCAAATAGATGTTGGATATTTTTGCTTCTACAACCTCCATGTGAATGTGAATTGGGTGATTCGTCATTATTGAATGCCTTCCAGTGCTTTATGCACTGTTCTTGAGAATCCAGATAAAAATGTGCTTTTGTCCTTTTGCACTTTTTTCTTAAGGCTCTTACATTGGATCTTTCTTATATTTGAGAGAGGGCCAGTAAAGCTGTTTCTGAATAGTAATCCCTAGAAGACCTTGAATTCTGTCATTTGTTAGTTTTTACTGGCATGGATGAGAATTTAATATATATTAGTTTTTTCCAAGTAACTTTTTTTCAGACTTACTTCAGAATTACAATTAAGTGGTTATATAAGAGTTAATCACCGAAACCAGAGGTGTCACAAAGACATTAAGATTACTGTGCCAATGTAAGAAAACATGGGCCATAAGGAGAATAAGAAGCTGGTTTATGAGATAGGAACTGGTGGGCTGAAATTTCTGAAGCAGATGTTAGGTATATTGTGACTGTCAGTGTATAATCAAAATTTGGGTGATAGGTTCAGTGAATCAGGGGTGATGGATGCAATCTCTTGATTGCTCTAATACAATAACTTCATAGTGCTTTGAGTGGTTTCATTTTGCAGGTATTTTAAAATGTGACAGCTAAGAATGGTGAGCTGTTATGAAAACAAATATTTAAGTATTTAATATTTAATAGTACATTGTTCCAGTTAGCTATTTCATTACTGTGTTGCTGCTTGAAAATTATGGAAACTGGCATGTTTTTAATAAAAATGTTGATTTATTGACCAAGCACCTCAGTGCTTGTTTTAGGGTAAGCCTTCTGGCATTTTAAAAATTTAGGATTGTGATTAATCACTTAACACTATCTTTTGTGCAAATGCTTATGCTATTGGCAGAGATGCATTTTGTTTTGTTTTTGTAATTGATTGGAGTGACGGTTTAACAGTGCATGTACCTGGGAACCTTAAGTCATATGGATACAGGGCTGCAGCTCATAGATGTTTAGGTTGTACTGTTGTGCAAGGGAGCCCAGCCAGCAAGCCAAAGTTGAGGTGAAATGGAGCTCATGCTGAGCTCCTCAACCTTAAAGAAGAGGCACTTTTTTAAATAAAAAGTATTGCTTGTTCTAAGTGGTTCTCAGAGAGCAGCACTTTTTGATTTGTTTGTCAAGAGGGAGGTGCCTTTTTAGAATTCTTCAGTTCAGAGAGAATGCCTTTTTGCAATTTGCACAAAGGCACCATCTGGAGCTAGCTGTGGCCCTGTATGGATGATTTTTTGAAAGATACTTACATGCATATTGGATCATATTTGCCATAAAATATACAGTGGTTAATTTATAAGTAGTGAAAAACAAGACTTTTAACTTGCATGTCAAGATATTATTTTGGTTTTTGATATATTTTTTTTTTATGTTAACCATTCATTCAAAAACTCTTACTTTAAATTCCTTGTGGCAGATCATGATGACACCGAACATGCAAGGTATTATCATGGCGATAGGTAAATCCAGGAATGTATATGACAGGTGTGGCCCTGAAGCAGGGTTCTTTAAGGTACAATTAACATTTTCATTTAAGTTTTTAATGTTTTTAAATGAACTTCTTAAAATATTTTATTTCCTTGAATTAAATTTGGTTTCCTCTATATAATTTCTCTTTTCCTATCTTAGCCACTGCCACCTGATGTTCTGAGGGTTTCTTTTATGCATATAAGAATGATTTTTTTTGGTAACCCAGATAATTCAACAAAAAACAAAACATTTTACCAGAGTTACCCTAATAGTGCACCTTTGGGTTGTTAGCAGAAATTTGAATTGTGTTTTTGTTTGAAAGGAATAAAAGGTATTGATGAGTGAAAATAGGAACTGAGTAATTGCTTCTGGTATATTTTATTTTCTTCTCATTGGTAATACTGTTTGCCAATATTACAATATTTTTAAAGAAATTTCACTATCATTTGATTCTAAACTGCTTTCTTCACTTGGTTGTTTCAAAAATGATTTGTTCATTTATTTTTATGTTTCTTATTCACTTACGTTTTCTCCTGACTTAATTTTTAATATCCTAGTTGTTTCAAGAAATGTGTGAGACTATCAAGCAGTTGCATTATTCCATGACCAAATCTTTTTTTCCCCTCTAATGATGTGAAAATGTTGGGGTTCAGGGGAGCAAACGGTCAAGAAAGAATTCTTGAGACGTCGGTGCAGAAAGATGGTTTTATTAAAGCACTGGGACAGGACCCGTGGGCAGAAAGAGCTGCACTGGGGTCATGAGGAGGGGCCCATTGTGTACTTTCAAGTTGGGAGGGGGTTAGAGATAGCACAAGTCTCTAAGGAATTTGGAAGCCTGGTGTCCAGGACCTTGAGGGGCTAGCTGTTGTTTTGAAAAGGTCATTTATCACCCTCTAGTAAAACCTTAGTCATGGGACCCTTCAGATGTATATCAGTGGACGATATGCTTGGAGGATGATTGCTAACATATATTTTGGTGGTGGATGGGGGTTAGAGATAAAGGAAGTTTCCAAAGGAATTTTTATATATTAAAGGAGACTTACAGGATCCTGGAGATCAGGCTAATATGAAGATAAGGTTGCCTTAGCCCTTAGTAAAGTATTAACATCGAGGCAGTTGAGTTCCTAGATGGAAGGTCATGCTGCTTGTCTCAAGGGCTTGTCAATGAGTGGGCTGTAAGTTGTAAGGAAATTTAATTTTTTTTTTCTTTTGCCTTTGTTCTCCACATCATCTAATACCAGATCTTTACAATATTTTAGTTACAGTATTACTGGTTTTACATTTTTGAAAGCTGAAAGCATTGTTACGTTTTGTCTTTTTATTTTGATTTACCAAAAACTTCAAGTTGTTTTCACTTAGTGCCCTTTTTAGTGTTTCTTTTTTTCCCTAAAAAAACAAAAAGGCTTTATTGAGGTATAGTTCACTACAATAAGCTGTATGCTCCCATTCTTGACCTTAAAAATCTAAAATTTTTCCCTTAATATTCTATATTCTGCCCTCATCCAACTCAGTCTTCAAAAAGCTGCTTATTTTCACTATTTCTTTCATTCTGTAGTACAAAAAAAGGCCTTGTGCATAGTAGCCTTATATTAATAAAACACTTTTGAACTTGTTAGAATCAGAGTGACCAGCCATCTTGGTGTGCCCAGGACTGAGGGGTTTTCTGGAATACAGGATTTTCAGTGCTAAACAAACTGGTCCAGGGATGAGTTGATCACCCTAATAAGTTAAGAAAGGTTGAAAAACTGCTGTTATTGAAAAAACAAAAAAAAAAACAGAACTTTGTTAACCTTATTTCCAGGTGGTCTGCATTTTCTTTTCTTTAAAATACACATGAATGTATGTCTTCTAAAGTTTTTATTTCTCGTGGGAAAATTATCTGTCATTTATAGTGACATTGTCATTTTTTTTCAAGTTGGATATCTTTATGTTGAATTGGGAATTTCATGTTTTTTAGATTAATACCTGCATATATTGTAAAGAGCCAGCTAATTATATACACTACAAACAACAGTACACCCAACCCCCACCCCCGCTGTGGTTAACAGCTTCCAGTTATTTTATCTAATCCTTTTGGCATGAATTCCTTATCTTTAAGTAAACACAGAATGCTTGAGTTTTTGTGGTTCTTAGTTTACCACATTTCCTGTTGAATTCCTTGCTAGGGGATGTAAACAAGGAGCTCTCCTTCTCCTGTCCCTGCCCCCCCCCCATAGTTTCCACCCTTCCATCTATCTACACACACACACACACACACACACACACACGCACACAGATGAAAAATTTTGTCATTTGGATTAAATCAGAATTCTGTTTGTATTACTATTTCTATGTATGCTACTCAGGATTGAGCTGAGTCATAAACATTATTACTTTGACATTCCCCCCCCCCCTCCAGGTTGCATTTTTCTTGGAGTTGTTTTACTTTTTAGTTTGCTTAGTTTTCTATATGTATTACTGATGTGCTTCTAAACTCTCTGCAAGTTGTTTAAATCTCCTCATATTCTGTTGTCAGTTTTACCTTCTTGGGGAAATTTCTTCTGGAATAGATTCCTTCTGGAATAGACATCTTCTATAAGTCTATTCCAGAGCTTTGTAACCTGCTTCAGTCTGCACTGATTTTCTTTTACCCCCAGTATATAACTAATATCTTGGGATCTTTATTCACCATTACCTGGGGATGCCCTTTGCATCTTGTCTTTTATGTATTTTCCATATTTCATGTATTTCTCTTTCTCAGTTTACCCTCTGATTTTGAGGCAGCAGCAAATCTCTGAAGTTTATGTCCATGTGTATTTATTTTCACCAATCTGTAATTGAGGGATATATATACACACATACATACATATACACACACACACACACACCCCATACACACACATACATATGTTCTTATGTAAATATTATCAATTGTTTATAATTAATGTGTAGTTTTGGTATAGGTAAATGATTTGCATTTGGAAAATTCTAGCTGATAATATATAGTTTTAGAAAATTTGTCATGTAAATAACAAATAATATGTAAACAATGCAATCATTCAGTAATATATAGGTGTCTAAATTAAAACTAATAATGCAGTTTGCCACTGACCTGTGTAACCACTGTTATCACTGTGTAACCTTTCTTATTTTTTCCTTTTGTTTATACAATCATATAGGGAATTTTTTTTCATTTTTAATTTTACTATTCATATTATTTTGTAACTTATATCACTCAGAAATATATTGTGGGCATTCTTAAAGTGAAGGCATTTAGTATTCATTTATTATGTATTACTCTCTTTATGGATGTATGTCCTGTTTTTTCCCAGTCTGCCATTTCTGTTTGAGTTAGTTTATGATACCTTTTTTTCATAAAGAAGTTTATAAAAACACTGTGCTTTCAAATCTTTCTGCTCCTTTCTGGATTCTGGAGTTTCATTTCTATACAAAAAGTCTTCTTTGACCCAAGGTATTGTAAATTTTCTACAGTAGTTTCTTAAAGCACTTTTCTCAGTAAATTTTTATTTTTATGAATTCATATGTACACACTACTCAGCATTTTATTTGGGTTTTCTACATTCTCTATTATTAAAAATGTATTTTTCTTTTTTGTGCTATCTTCATCAGGTTTGATTTTATGCTTATGTTAGCTTTAGTAAGTGAAAGCTTTTCTGTTTTTCTTATACTCTGGTGTAGTTTACATAGGAATTATCTATTCCATAAGAGTAAGTTAGAACTTGTAAAACCATAATGAGCCTAGCCCCTTTTTTGGTTGTAGATTTTTTGATAATTTTTTTTTTGTTCCTTCTGCAGTGATTGGCCTATTTAAACATGTTCTGTTTTCTTGGCCATTGATTCTAATCATTATCTCAACATTCAGTATTAATTCACAAAATATATACATAACACAGTAACTAACATATGATAGCTGCTTCTGTCTTACTGTTGCCTAAATTAGATATAATATATTCTTAATTTTTATTTTTAATATTTTATTTTTTATACATAATTATAGTATGCTATGGTAATGTAGACATATCTATATATCTTCTGTCGCATTACCAAAAATGTCTTTATTGGGTTTATTTTATATTAGCTTTTTGTTTATGAGAAGATTTTCAACTCTGCCTATTTCTAAAAATGGACTTCATATGTATTATGATTAGATCAGTTTTTAAAATGTTATATGTGTTTGCTACTGGTAAACCATGTGATGAAATGTTGGTTTTTACTGATAAGAAGATAAATTGGAGCATGAAACTTATATCTGGGTAAGTGGACTTGCTAAGGTTTAACCTCTTTTTTAGGAAGAGTCACCAGCTCAATCACAGATACAATAAACGTATAAAATAGATTTGTTTTTATGAATTGAGTCACTTACCCCTACTTCTTCTACCAGGTTATTGGTAGGGTAGGTAGTGGGAGAGCTAATTAATTTTATTTATATTGTATCCAGTTACCTTATTGGGCTCTTTTGTTTTCTAATAATGTTTTAGTTGATTCTTGTAATTATTTCAGTACATTGGCTCCCAATAATTATCTCATAATTGGGATAATTTCCATTAGACTTTTTATTTCATTTCTGTTTTTATGTTAACCAGATTTTTCAGAATATAGTTAAATATGAAAATAATTTTAGTAATAAGCTCCTTTGCTTACTTTCTGATATTAATGGATTTGTCTCTAGTGTTTTATTTTCAAGTATGATGTATAGCATTGTTTTTTTTTTTTAATAGATTTTCCTTTACAAATTTAAAAACACTTTCTCAAATTCCTAGTTAAAAGAGTTTCTTCCTAACTGATTGGTGTTGGAATTTAGAAATATTCTAATGTATCTGTTTGAGATGTGAACAGATTTCTTTGTAATCCTTAATCCTTAGAATGTAAAGATTTTAACATTGACCCCTCCTTTTTTAAACATTGTAAACATTGTCTGTTTTTATATATTCTTTTTGTACACAATGTAGTTTATCAAAAATGGATGAAGTTAGCATCTCTGTTCATAGATAAATTGATCTCCAGTTTCCTTTGTTATATTTGTCAATATTTTATATTCAGATTATACTGGCCTTGTGTAATCATTAAGGAGACTTTTCCCTTTTCTCAGGCTTTGGAGTAGTGTAGATAGAGAAATCATTTGGTCCTTGAAGATTTGACGTAACAGCACAGTTCTAAAACAATGTTGGCCTGATTCTTTGATCGGGTACAGATCTTGGGCAACATTTTCAGTTCTTCTGTAGCTTTACTGGGTCTCTTCAAGAACTTGGTAGTTTTTCTACCTTTTAAACCAATTCAGGTAATTTATATTCTCCTAGATGATCATCTGTTTAATTAAAAATATGTAGTTTATTGGCATAAAGTTATATATATTATTTTTTTAAAACAAATTTTAAAGCTTTTTGTTTGTTTGTTATAGTATTTTCGGTATTGTCACCTTACATGTGGTGGAGAGTGTTCTCCCATACTTTGGTTTTCCATTAGCTCTTTGGAAAGAAAAGCTTTTGACTTTTTTATCTAATTGCCACATTATTTTATTTCTTCTACCTTTAGTTTATTTTCTCTCCTCTCTTCTCCCACCCCACCCCACCCCCCTGCTTCTTGAACTGTACTTTTTCTATACTGGTTAAATTGGAATTTTCCTTTGACTACCAGTCTGGCTGTGTCCTATAGGTTTTGATATCTTATGATTCCAATATTAATATAATTTTGATTCCTTTGGCCCAAGAATAATTTAAGACTATTATTTTAATTCCTAAGAGCTTAGTTTGGGAGTTGTCTTTATTTTTAATTCCTGTATGTATTGCATTGTGGTGAAATCATACAGCCTATATGATTACAATCCCCTGGAATTTGAAGTAGATTTTCTTCCATCTTTTGGTGCACTGTCAGTTTTTAAAAAATAGTCTATAAACATTTAATTTATAAGCACACTCACACATACATACACTCTGTGAAGTCAGCTAACCATATTTCAGAGATAAGAGCATTAAGACTTGGAGAACTTTGTGCCTTGTTTTATATCACAATTAATAAATGGTACACCTAGCTTTCTGAATCTTGGTCTGATTTTCCCTTAGATTTTTCTGCCTTCAGAATATATTGTATGTTTATATATTTGGTATCTTCTGATGTATGTATACAGTTATAGCAGAATAAAGTCTGTAAAAATTATACATTTAGAGTATGATTTTATAACATGATTTAGAAAGGTAAAATCTCGGTGTAGTAGTCATTTGGATCTTTGCAACTGAAGATTTCAAAAGAGAAAGAAAACTAGACTTATTGAATGGGTCATCTATAGATAGATGAGGAACAAACAAGAAAGGACATCACGCGTTTAGAGAACTTAAGAAACAAGGGCGCATGTGCATCTGTGGGAAAACAAGCCTGACCTAAGTGGAAGGAAGTCTTTGTTGAAGAGTCATAGGAAATAAGACTGAATAGATAACTTTGGACCTGATTACCTGCACCATGTTAAAGGTCTGGTGAAAGAGACTTTTTAAAAATTAATTGCAAAGCAATTCTGTCACCTAATGACCAGTATTACATTTCATCTTGTAAATGTTTGATGGTTTTATTGCAGTATCTGTGGCAGTTAACTTAAATAATTACATTCATAGGCAGCCAAAGTATGGAAAGGACAAGAATAATTCTAGGGCAGGATTCTGAGGAAGTAGTCTGAATCAAATTTGACAACTCAGCAGTGTTAACTTTACTCATAATGATAAATAGTGAAGAACTCTGCTAAATATACTGGCATGGAACATCTGTTGAAATTTTGAAGGAATAGATATGATTGCAGTATATTTAAACATCAGAAAACTTTTTTAGAAGTAAGTTCATAAATAAAAGTAATTGATAATTATAAAAAATAATTTGTGCTGGTAAAAAGTGTTTTTTTTGTGTTTGAAAAATTACTTGTAGAAATTTAAAATGTGCCTTTTTACCTTTACTGGTTTAAATATCTATAGATTTTAACTTTGGCATTTACTTGTGTAAATTGGGAGAAGCTTAAATAGAACAAAATTAAGAGATAAACATAATTTTAGAATAAAAGAGGGATATGTATTCTAGCTTGCTAATAGAAATCTATTTGCTCTTTACGAAAAATATAGTGTCTCTATTTTGAACGTAGGTAAAAAAATATGTAACCATTTTAGTGTTATAATTCCTTATCTCTAAACCTATAATACTACTTTAAGAGACTCAATACGAATTTATTTTATTTTGGTCATACTAATTTTGGCCAAAAGCATGATATCTGAAATACTTAAATATTCAAAAGAACTTGGAATAGTTTGACAGTCATTGTCTGAAGACTATAATAAGGAAGAACAGTTACTGTTTTTGTTTTATATTTATTCTCAAATTCAGTATAGTTTCGTTATTAAATGAATATGTACCCCCCTTTTTTTTTCAAATTGGGAAAATGAGAAGATTTTATAGTTCTAATCTAAGCCTATGTGTGCTAGTTAGGTTTGCATTGAAGTGAGCCTTAATAATCCTACATGTCAAAATATAGTTTTCCTGGCTATTTTTAACCACAGCATGTATAACAAAAAAAAATTATTTTAGCTATAAGGTAATAATTCCGTTTATAATGCTAAGTTATATAGAAAGGACTCATTAGCCTTCCCTTTAATGATATATAAGAATGTATAACTAGAATGTTTCACTTAATGTTTGTCAGTTACATTTTCTCCCTTCTATAAAATATAGCATAGTATCTGGATGGTCAAGAATTGCTTAAGAAAGGCATACTTTAAAAAAACAAAAACAACTTTCTAATAGAATTGATTTTTTTGTAACTTATTTTGCATGTGGCCCCATAATGTTTTACAGTTAATAAAGCTAGGATTTAGATATAAGTCCAATATAAATGAATATTGTAAAAAGTATTATTTTTAATCATACAGGTTTCTTGTATACAGCAGTATTTAATATATAACCCTACATTTATTTCTGCCTTCGCCAGTATCTTCCAAATGGTTTGCTCATGTGTAGAAACATGTCAGTATTATTTCTTGTTATAATTAATTATAAATTCTGAGGCGTTCTGTTTATAAAAAAAGGAATTTCAAGCATAAGGTGATAATAGTGATAATATTCATTAATTATTACGCAAATAAATTTCAAATATTTTTGAAGCAACAAGGAATTCAGTCTGCAGTAACTAGAGTCTCAGGGCTTACTTTTTCATTCTTTATTTTTAGACTCTTCAGCTAAAAGGTAATTTAAGTGGTATTATTATACATATAAGAACCAGCCATTTTCTTTCAGATATGGGCATTCCAGGAAGCTGTATTTCAACCCTAAAATTTGGGATATTCAAGATATACATGAAACTGATACTGGAAAGCATAGGAGAAGGGATATTGAGTATCACAGTCGTAGGACGCTTCTGAGTAGACTGACCAGACTCTGATGGTGCACTTAAGTGTATTGTTTAGTTTAATACTTCTCTATATGAAAACAAAAAAACATTATTACAGTGAAGGGATAAGGAAGTACACATATGGTCAGTTTTAGAAAGTTCTTTTTAAACTGTAGAACATGGGACAGTATTTTTAGATGTACTACCTTCTTTGTAACACTTTAAAAGAAAAAAGTATATTTGAACACAAGAATAATTAAAGCTGTAATATTGAAGGATTTTAATTATTACAATTAACCAAAATTGGCATTTGTTACATTTTCTAGGCAATTAAGTTGGAGTATTCAAGATTGGTTAAATTGTCCCAAGAAGATACCCCACCAGAAACAGATTATCGTTTACATCATGTAGTGGTCTATTTTATCCAGAACCAAGCACCAAAGAAAATCATTGAGAAAACATTGCTAGAACAATTTGGAGATAGAAACTTGAGTTTTGATGAAAGGTAATTTAAAAATGTGAAATATTGAACTCATATGCTCAAATTATCTTTTTTTAAAAATAGCTTTCTATGCAGTTTTTTAATGTTTATTTTATACCTACACAAAGACCTGTTTCAGTAAATACAGCACAGAACTTGACTTCACTTAATTTGAACAGTTGCTTTGTACTTTCTTTGGAGTTTATGGTCATGACCTTTAAAAGTTGGAGCTGAAAATAATTTAGATTGTTTTAGTATATTTTAATTATTGACTAAGGTACTGAGCTAAGCAACAAAGATTTACGGAAGAATATAATCATTGCCCTTTGGGGACTCAATATTTTAGAGAAATAAAGAATTTCTCAATCTCTCCAGTAAGTATATTTGAGTCAGATTGCTCTTTATTGTGGGGGGCTATCCTATAACTTGTAGGATATTTAGCAGTGTTCCTGACCTCTACCTGCTAGATGATGGTAGCACCTCCCACAAGTGATGACATACAAAATATGTGTTTGAGAATCACTAGAGAAAAGTATTTAAATGTATACACAAATAAAATAATGCCCTCTGATATCAAGAGAAGCCTTAAAATGGTTAAATTACAGTTCACCTTTGAACAGTGTGGAGATTAGGGGAGTGACTGTGCAGTCAAAAATCTGCACATAAAGTGTATAATTTTTGACTCCCCCAGAACTTAACTGCTAATAACCTACCGTTGACTGGAAGCCTTACTGATAACATTAAACGGTTGATTAGCATGTATTTTGTATGTTACATGTATTATATACTGTATTCTTACCATAAAGTAAGCTAAAGAAAGGAAAATGTTATTAAAATCATAAGAAAGAAAAAACACACAATACTGTAAAAAATTGGTTGTAAGTGCACCCTCAAAACCCATGTTGTTTAAGGATCTACTATGTTTTGGTTTACCGAAAAATGTTTTCCCATAGAAATTTGTATAAAATCCCTAGAATTTTTTTTTTAACTAATATTAAGAAATTAAAATATAATCTAGTTAGAATGAATACCATTAAAAAAATTTAGGCCTTGGGTAAAGATCCAAGTACTGGACGTTATTTTAGAGTACAGAGACATTTATGTTATCTTGGAGTTCATTGTAGTCCATTTTAATTCTGAAATAGATGATTATCTTTTCATGAATATCTCAAAAATACTGAATTAAAAATATGTATAGCAGAGGAGAATATGTGGAAAACAAAGCATTCAGAATTAAATTCCTGCTTTACCGTGTGTCTGCTGTGAAATTTCAGATTAAGTGAAGTAATACAAGTAAATGGCTTGAACAGTATTTGATAGACAATAAAGTGCTCAGTGAATGTTAGCTATTACTACTTTATTATTAGTAGTAGGAGCATCACTTATTTTACATATAACCACCACAAAGAGCTCAGAAATATGACAGATTATAACCCTTATTATTTGGGTTGCTGGTACACTGTATTCCAATGAATATATGCTATTGAATTTGGGGAAAATATTCATGGGGTAATCACGCTGACCTTTCACTCTTGCAATTTTTGTCCTGGGGACTGAAAATTGGTCAATTTGTTTTGATAGTCTAATTTCTCTTATACTTGAAAGAGTAGATCCATGTGATAACTAAACATATTCTGCAGAGATTTCTTTAACAATGATTTTATGCGTAAGAATGTCTCTATTACCTGAAATGATCCGGACTTTTTGAGTTCCTTTTTTGCTTTTTATGAATAGTGCCATTTGAAAGGGGAAAATGAGATTTAATGTTTCTTAAGCTTGCTTAATAGATACACATTATAAAAAAACACATTGCATTTTTTACTTGTGCAATATGTGTTGATAGAATGTAATTTAAAAGCCGTATGTAAATATAACATGGTAAATTTGAGTTAGAATTATTGATGCTGTCTTCTTTATCTACTTTGTAACTATCCAGCATTGATCCAAAAAACATTTTCGATTAAGGTTATTTGGGAGTTGCTTCCTCAAAAAAGTGTTGCTTAATGACAGTGGATTTTATTTTCATATGTGTTGGGTAGTTTAGTTTTGTGTCACATATTTTTCAGTTTTTATGAATTTTGCTTTTGATTTAGGAATGCATTTCTTTTATTTGAAGGTGTCACAACATAATGAAAGTTGCTCAAGCCAAACTTGAAATGATAAAACCTGAAGAAGTAAACTTGGAGGAATATGAGGTAATGGGCCCTTTGAGAGGTTGAACTATAGATTGAGGAATTCTGTAGTTCACTGATCATTTCAGCACAGCTGAGCACAGGAGAGAATAAGGCATAGAGAGGGTAAAGTAACCTGCCCAGAGTTTTCACAGCTAGCAGATTATTTCACAGCTAGCAGATTACAGCTTGGTTAACACAACCTTCATCCTTTTTTTTTTTTTTTTTTTTTTTAATTTAACAGAACCTGCATTCTTAAATGCTATTATGGTCACTGAAGCCTTGCTGTATTTTTTCTTTGCCTCATCACATATTTTGGGGAGGAAGTTGCAAACTTGCTTTTAATCATTGTATGCCATATACATTTGTCATTATTGGACAGTGTTGTACATGTGAGAGAGAGCATGCATGCACGCTCATATCATGCTCATGGTAATTTTTGTACACAAATTTCTCTTTGTGTTAACTTTGGCTTTAAAATTAATACTTTTTTTTTTTAATTTACCAATTCAGACACCTAGTATTTCTTCAGACTTTTAAATTTAACTTTATACATTGTCTTTTTTTTTTTTTACTTTTTTTTTTAAAGGTTTTATTTACTTATTTGTCAGAGAGAGAGAGAGAGAGAGAGAGAGCAAGTGAGCGGTCACACAAGCAGGGGGAGCGGCAGGCAGAGGAGAAGAAGGCTCCCTGCTTAGCAAGGAGCCCGTTATGGTACTCCATCCCAGGACCCTTGGGATCATGACCCAAGCTGAAGGCAGACACTTAACCATCTGAGCCCAGGCATCCCAACACATTGTCTTTTTTAATTTATAAATCTAGTCAATTTTAAGTTGATTTCATAGTGTTTTGATTAATGTTTGGTCCCATTTACAAACTTAATTACTTTAGATTGATTCCCTTAAATAATTACTGTCATTCACCACATTAACATAAAGAAAAATATTCATTTTTGATGAAAACCCTTAGCTAACCTGGAATACAAGGTGCAACTACTTTAATCTGCTAAAGAGTGTCTCAAAAAACAACAAAACTAGCAAATGTATAAAATTGTGAGCATTGAAAGCTTTCCTTTGTAATCAGGAAAGACAGGGATGTCTGTAACCACTTCTATTCAAAATTGTACTGGAAATTCAAATGGGCAGCAAGGCAACAAAAATAAGCAAAAAGTAAAAGATTGGAAAAGAAGAAACAGTTATTATTTGGAGATTTTACGTGTAGAAAATACAAACAAAATCTGAAGATAAATTAATTGGAAATAATAATAGAGTTTTGCAACATGCAGAACCTATGTCAAACACCAGTTTTATTCCGTTAACCCAGCAGCAGATAATCAGAAAGTGAAAATTTAAAAAATGACATCATTTATAATAGCGTCGAAAAGTGTGCAGTAACTAGAAATAAATTTAGCAAAAGTTGTGCATGACTTTAGGAGACATTAAAGAAGACCTGAATAAATGGATATTCATATTATGTTTGGACAACTTGGTATTGTAAAGATGCCATTTTGGGCTGCCTGGGTGGCTCAGTTGGTTAAGCATCTGACTTCGGCTCAGGTCATGATCCCAGGGTTGAGCCCATCATCAAAATCCCTGCTAAGCAGGTAGTCTGCTGGTCCCTCTCCTTCTGGCCCTTCTCCTGCTCATGCTCACTCTCTCAAATAAATAAATGTTTAAAAAAAAAAAGAAAAAGATGCCATTTTACCCCAGAGTAGTTTATTGATTCTGTGCAGTCCCTATCAAACATCTAGCAAGTTGTGTGATGGAGCTTGATAAGCTGATTTCAAAAATTTTATGAGGGGTGCCTGGTTGGCTCAGTCAGTATAGCATGCAACTCTTGATCTCGGCGTCATGACTTTGAGCCCCACGTTGGGTATAGAGATTACTTAAGTAGAACTTAAAAAAAAATTTTATGAAATGCAAACATCTCATTCTAGCTCAGACATTCTTGAAGAACAAGGTAGGAAAGCTTATTCTACTAGAAATCAGGAGATACCATTCTTAACCGTTATGCTTTATAATAATAATAGCATAAGGGTAGGTAATTTAGAACAATATAGCAGAATGAAAAATCTGAGAACATATGCACAAATAAATGTACACATATATGCCAGTGATGACAAGCAAGTGGGTTACTCACTCTGTTTGTTCCTAAGATTGAAGTTACATGGGACTTGATTTTTAATTATGATTTGACTCTGCATTCTCTCCCCAGGGTTGCTTCATCTGATTGGATTCAACATTTTTGTTCTGAACACGCCTCATATTCTAACTGCAGAGCCATTAAGTCTTAAACGTATTTCCATGATATGTTTTTGGATTCTGTGTGTCCTGCATATCTTTATCTTGCTCTGAGTCACAACTCAGCAAACGTTGGCCCACAGACCAAATTCAGCCCACCACCAGTTTTTATAAAACAGTTTTATTGGAACACAACTATTTGTTTACATATTGTATATGAATGCTTTTACACTACAGTCACAGAGTTGAATAGTGAAAACAGAGACTGCAAGACCTGCAAAGCCTAAAACGCTTACTGGCTAGGTCTTTACAGAAAAAGCTTACTCACAACTTCTCAGGCAATTCTAATGACAGTAGAGTGGCCAATTTGAATACTTTCCCAGAAAAGCTAACTTTAATTATTTATTAAATCCTGTACTGAATTTAGTTACGGTTTTTCTTGAAACAGTTTTTTTTTTTTTTCCAAATAAGTTAGAAATCGTGATTTTGTTTTCTAGCTAGAGGGTGTCAATTCTGATTTGTTGAGTCCTATTACATGCCCGATAATTAGGTTTTTGGAGGGAGAGGCAGTTGAAATGTGACATGCTTCTATTCTTCTCACCATATCTCAGATGAGTAAACTATTCAGCTACCATATTTAAAATAAAATTAGCATAAATTTCCAAAATTAAAAGGTTAAATAAATTTATTATAACATTTTTCTTTTAGTTCCTTAACGTTCTTCATCAAATAAGTCTTCAGTATTGATTCTGTTAGAGTAGTAACTTCATTTACCTCCTACATCCAATGTGATGTACATCTATAATAATATTTTAATAATATACCTTTATACCGAAGAATTTTTGAGAGACAGAAAACATGGTAGATTATCTTGCCTTTGTATTTCTGTTACAGTCAGTCATTATTTAATTCCTCATTAATTTCTAATAATTTCTACATTTATTATTATACTAATAAAGTAATCTTGTATATCAAAAATGAAAGTCTTGACTTAGGTCTAGTTTATCTTAATTTTGAATTCTTTGGTTCTATTAATTTGAATAGTTGGAACAGTGCTTTACTTTATGAACAGTTTTCATTGTGGTTTTAATATCCTACTCTGCATTCTTTTAAAATTTTTTTTACCTACAGGAGTGGCATAAGGATTATAGGAGATTCAGGGAAACAACCATGTATCTCATAATTGGGCTAGAAAATTTTCAAAAAGAAAGGTAAGGTAGAGTGGTCAAATATTATTTTTTGTACTTAATTCTATTCGGATATGACCTCATCTATAGAAAATATTTTATTCACAATATATATTTTTGATAAACTTTTAATTTTATAAGTTTTAGATTTACAGAGAAATTGTATAGTTAGTATAGAGAGTTCCTATATAATATATATATATATACTCCATATATTTTGTTTTCAGTTAAATCTGTAAGGTTGGCATTAGTTAGTCTTTGTTTTTATCAGCTCTCAAATACTACAGTTGAAGTTTAGGATGGAATAGGATTAGATTGAAGCCTAGGAGTTTGCTGGGGACCAAAGAAACTGGTACCCCAACACGGAATTCTTTGTATTCCCTAACATTTGCCTTCAGTCTCCAGCCATTTTCATATTCCGAGTCTAATCTTGACTTCAGTCTGAGATAGTGTTTCTAATCTCTTTGTCCAAACTTCCAGTTACTATAAAAAATAACACTGTAAAGAATTGATCACTTGTCTTCTAAGAATTGTGACTGCAAACACATTTTAGATCATTTTTCATTTAAATTACAGATGGTTTTAAAGGAATCGCTACTTATTAACTATAATATTATTTACTTTTAAATGTTATTAAGAAGAAAAGATGGTTATTGATTTATTTACTTACACATTATTCATTAGTTTACATCTACATGTTATCCACATATTTCTTAATTCATATTCTTTAACATGAATGTACTTGACTAATGATTTTTTTAAGAAAGTGCTATATTTTAAATATTCTCTAATAGTGCCTTCAAGTAAAGGGGTTATTGAATTCCCTCTTTTCTTTCTTTTCTTGTTTTGTATGAAGTATAGGAAACCTCCGCTGAGATGTTAATGCAATTTTGTTTTTAAATGACAATGCAGGCTATTACTTCTAGAGCTGTGCTGGCCATCCTGGTTGCCACCAGCCACATGTGACAATTTAAATTTAAGAATTTTAAAACTAAAAATTCAGTTTCTCAGTCATACTAGCTGCATTTTGAATGTTTAGTAGCCACCTGTGGCTGGTGGCTCCGGTATTGGCTAGCACAGACACAACACTCCCTGCAGAAGGTTCTGTCGGATCACGCTGCTCTGTTTATGGGACAGTGCACAGTCCCATCCCTTTTACACTTAACCAAAGTTTTAGAAGTTACCCAGAATTAAAAAATAATGTTAATACTTGAATATACATTATTAAAGTCCTAGTGCTTGTGTAATTTATTTATTTTAATTTAAATTGTGTTAACATACAGTGCAATATTGGTTTCTGGAGTAGAATTCAGTGATTCATCACTTACATACAACACCTGGTGCTCATCACAGATACTGTGTAATTTATAAGATAATTCACTTTGGTCACTGTAATAGAAAAGTATTTTGATTAGTAGCTCCATTTTATGAGTTACTTTATTTCGGTCAGAGTTTTATTTCTTTAATAGGAATATTCAAGTTTACTTTAGGATATCTTAAGATTAATATTTCTGAGAAAAATAGTAATGTGATCTTATAATTGAACAGAGTATCTAAGATCAATAAGGCATTTCCATTTTATAGATAAAGAAACTGTGTTTACTTACACATATCTCCAGAGAGATGCAATAACTTTTTCAAGGTCACACAATGAACTAGGGAGAAAAAGTGAAATAGAGATCTTTATTCTTGTAAAATTTAATGAAATCAGGTAAGTACAAGAAGTATTTATTTTTCTCACTCAACGAGAATTAAAAAGATGAAACTGTCATTTTCTTGCTCTCTGCATTTACTTCTATATTAGCTTTTCTTAGTTAACATTTGTTAAAGGACTTTGAGATATAACTTGGAAGTATGTTTTAATTTCATAATTTGCTTATTCTCAAATATATACTTACTCAGAAAGTGAATATTCTGGTGTAGCAAATGTTACTGAATTGGAAAGGTCAACTAGAAAATTAGTAATGGTGACAAATAATATTTATGGAATATCATAAAAAGAAATGTTAATTTTATACTTTAAATATAGCAATTACCACAGCTAACAGGTTAGAAAATATTACCAGAAGTTCTGTCCAACTTTTTTTTTAAATAAAAACATATGGGTCGCCTGGGTGGCTCAATCGTTAAGCATCTGCCTTCGGCTCAGGTCATGATCCCAGGGTCCTGGGATCGAGCCCCGCATCGCTTCTCCCTCTCCCCCTCCCCCTGCTTGTGTTCCCTCTCTTGCTGGGTCTCTCTCTGTCAAATAAATAAATAAAATCTTAAAATAAAATAAAAACATAGCAATTGAAAGCCTTGAATGGAATATTGATTGATAGTCCATTGTCAAGTCTGAGAGTAGTGAAGTGAAATCATGTTTTTAGGAACCATAATTTTACAATAGTATAAATGAGGATAAAGAATCTACAAGCTACATGGTCTTGTTTTATCCTAAAATAAGAATGTGGTACCTGGACTGCTGAGTCTTACTCTTGATTTGTTTGAAGATATGTTTGTAGGCACTTTAGAGGTTGTTGATAAAATATGGAAATTGTGTACTTCAGTAAAAAATTGGAACAAGGCCATGATTTCAGAGCTATAGAGAGGTGACTCATGTCTTGAAGGCCAGATATGAATGTCAATCAGGGAGACTTTCGAATAGGAAACTTAATGACTATGAAAGAAAAGGTAGATGTGCCAGCAGACTACCTCAGTTTAGTGGTGTAAAACATTTAATATTATTATCACTCCCTTCTTTTTTTCTTTCATAAGTAAAACAGTTCTCTAGCTGAGGTTATGTTTATATTATTTCAAAAATAAAATTCCATATTCGTAAGTTTTCTCAAAAACAAGTTCCTGGGAGAAGCCTTTTCGAAAAAATAACTTATATTTTATGAAATAGTTCAGGTGTGTAATTTGAGTTGTCATTAATTTCAGTTCTACATTTAATATTGAAGTATAGAATTGATTTATATTTGAGCACATGAAATTGAATAATAAACAGTAGAATTCAGTGTAACCTAGAGTTTTAAAAGTGTTTCTTTATAGTAGTTCACCTTTTAGGATGTTACATTTTTCTGAATTAATCCATAAGAAGGTATGTTACGATTAGGAAAACTCACAAAGGAGATAGCTTATATTGTTCATATTTCAGTTATACAAATATATAGCTGTATTTATTTCCTGCAGCATATTAAGAGAGGATAATTACTTTAGAGGCAAATAGAATACTCAAACATTTTTACCCTCCTCCCTTTTTAAAACCTTGTTTGAACTTCATAACCCCTAGGCTTACATTAATGTAACATATTAATATTACTTATAGCAAATATAAGAGACCTAACTACCAGCTTTTATGTTAGTATGCATTGTTTTTGTTTGTATCCCACTAGAGTTTTCAGATTTAGAAGGATTCTTTTCCCTTTCTACCTGGGTCTCCTTTGGATATTCTCCCCTCTACCAATTACATTTTTCTCAATGATAAGCACTGTGCCTACACATAGAAAAAACCTGAATGGTCACTGAATGAGACAAATGATGTTTGTGATAAAGAAACAGAGTAACCTGTTCCTTCCTTCAAACAAAAATGACATTATGTTGTTAAAAAAGATTCTGGGCTTTCATATCAGTCTTAATTTTGACTCTAAATGGAAGACATGAGGTAAACAATTACCAAAGAAGACTGGAACTATCTAAATTCAGCAATTATGGGCTTTTCCTTCCCAGTCTTTTCTTAATTCCTAGTTCCATTTTTTTTTTGTCTTTATGACATAACTGTATAACTGGTTTCATATATGGCTATTGCTAAAAAGATGTCCTCAGGCTTATAGTACATCAGATATTTTTTTGGTAATGTTCTGAATAATCAAAACATAAATGTATACTTAAAGTATTTTATAATTGTAGTTGACTTTTTTTTTTAACAAAGATGAAATACTAATACTATGTTTCTTTTAATTTTTAAGTTATATAGATTCCTTGCTGTTCCTTATCTGTGCTTATCAGAATAACAAGGAACTCTTGTCCAAAGGCCCAAACAGAGGACATGATGAAGAATTGATATCACATTATAGAAGAGAATGTTTACTAGTAAGTTGAATATACCTAGGTCATGTTTGCTTTATCATTTTGTCTTATATTGAACACATTTTCCAGACTCATATGTAAGTGATTGACTATAAATTCTGATGGGGAAAGGGTCATGATGATGTCTATAATCTGGGTTTAATCCCTGAAGATGTGAGAGTGCACTCCATTCTTTATTATCCCTTCTTCTTTATTGGTCCTAAATATTGCAGGTGATAAACCAGAAATGTTCTTAAAATAGAATCAAAATAATTACCTTTTTATTAAATTTTTTCATCATTCTACCATTCCCTTTTTTGGTGAGAGAAGAGGTGCTGCATAGAGCATGAGGAATTATTATTATTATTCCAGAAAAATAATAGAATTTTTGAGTTTTTATATATAGTATATTTGGTATGCATAATGTCAAAAGATTCATTATAATACAGTATCCTTTTTTCTCACCTAGTCATTGGTAGTTTTTATTCCTCAATATTTTTACTATCCATGTGTAGAAATACTACTATTGTTACATAAACTTTAAAAAATGTTTTTTAGCAATTTTTTTGCACTAGATTACTTTCTAGATGTCTGGAGTACTTTGTTACTATTTCTCTAGTTAGCTAATATGTATAAAATCACAAATTTCATCTTTATACATTTTTCTGTTTGAATTTCATTCTTAACTATTAACATCACTCTGTTACATATTTTGAACACCTAAGTTGTAATTTTTTTCCTATACAGAATACACACACATGCACAAAAGTATTCAAGAATGTATGATTTTTGAACCTATATAAGTTACATGGATGGTTTAAGTGTACTTTAAACAACTTTAAGTAGGTGTACTGGTAAAATGTTTTCTTTCAGTAGAACTACATAGTATAAGCTAATTGTAGTCTTTAGTATGTCTTTAAAGTTTTCGAATGAGAATATTAAGAGGTTGTGATCTTACTATTTTTCTCTCAGCTGCTTTTATTGCATTTGAGTGTATTTTTAAAACTCGAAGTGTTAGTGGTTTGTATCCATGGAGGATAGTTCTTAATTTGGCCAGTTTCAAAAGGTTTTTGTTTTTTGTTATTATTGTATGCATAGCTTTTTCTAAGAGACTTCATGCTAGAATAGATTGAGATTGTTTTTCCCGATTGCAATTTGTTCTAATATTGTTTGTAAACATACTTATTATGTTGTTTTTGGTATTAACACAAGTATTTTTATTTAATTAAAGAAAAGAAACAAAACTCTTTTTCTTTTCCTCATTGCATTAAGAAATTAAATGAGCAAGCAGCAGAACTGTTTGAATCTGGAGAGGATCGAGAAGTAAACAATGGTCTGATTATCATGAATGAGTTTATTGTCCCATTTTTGCCCTTGTTATTGGTGGATGAAATGGAAGAGAAAGATATACTTGCTGTGGAAGACATGAGAAATCGATGGTGTTCCTATCTTGGACAAGAAATGGAATGTAAGTTTAACCACTACTAGTGGGCACCTCAGTTGTTGGGATTAAGTGCAGTTAGAATTAGATGTTATTCATTTTTATCATTTTTTATATTCTGTAATATTTTTACATTCACATCACTTTTTTCCTTATTTACAAACCAAGTTGTGCACATTGCCTTGCCATTTATATTTTACCTTTCCACCAAATGGTAATTATTTTACTTTGAAATGAAACATCAGTTGACCAATCTAAATTAATAAATCATGTTAAAGATGATAATTTAGTTCCCTCTCTATCTTTAGCTACATCTAATTGTTTCTATTTACAGCAAACCTCCAAGAGAAGCTGACAGATTTTCTGCCAAAACTGCTCGATTGTTCTACTGAGATTAAAGGTTTCCATGAGCCACCGGAGTTACCTTCATATTCCACACATGAACTCTGTGAGCGGTTTGCCCGAATCATGTTGTCCCTCAGTCGAACTCCTGCTGATGGAAGATAAACTGCACACACTTTCCCTAAACACACTGTATAAACTTTTTTTAGTTCTCAACCCTTGCCTTCCTGTCACAGGGTTTGCTTGTTGCTGCTATAGTTTTTAACTTTTTTATTTTAATAACTGCAAAAGACAAAATGACTATACAGACTTTACCCAGACTGCAAACAATAAAGCTGAGAATCGCATGGCACTCAGACTTTGTTTTAACCAGAACTGATGTATAATTACAAATCTGATTGATTTCATTATGGCAAAACCATGCTTTTGCCACCTTCCTGTTACAGTATTACGTTTGCTTTTATCTTTTCTTTATCTACAGCTTTCCATTCAGTCTGGATCCTTCCACGACTCCAGCCATTTAAGTGTTCAGCACTGTGTACGATACATAATACTTGGTAGCTTGTAAATGAAATTAAAGAATAAAGTTTTATTTATGGCTACCTATGTGTTTGTAAGCAGGTATATTGTATATTAGTGTATCATTTTAGTTATATATAAGTGAATTTTGTCTGGGGATTGTGTAAGATCGGATGAATAGATGAACAGATTAATACAAACTTTTAATTTTTCTCTGTTAGCGCATTGGAAATTTACTAAGTATTTGACACTTAAATATATCTATATTTTTGACTAAGTTGTTAAACTCAGTATGGCACCTAAACCTGTTTTGAATTCAAATCAGGTTTTCACTGAAGTGAGCGGCTGATATTTAAGTCAACCACACTGAAACTTAACTTTTTCTTAGATTAACCTTTTATTTTTTTATATATTTACAAATAATATAGCAAGGTGATTATTTCAAGAGATACCAGAAAAAAGTACTTGAATAAGGGCTATTTAATAGTGAAACTTATAAAAAATCTGTATGTGTATACACACACACACACACACATTCATAATGGAGGACAATGTTTTGCATTATATAATCATTCTATTTTTGTAAATTGTATACCACTTTAATTGAAAATGTTCTCTACTAATCAATGCTGTGAAATGAAGTTGATATTGTTGAACTAGAAATTATGAATATCTTTCCCTGCTTTTATTTTCCTCCTTTTCAAAAAGAAAAAGCTGTAGAATATTTTGTAGATGGAACTGCTGTTTAAGATTAATGAAGTCATATTGTGAATGAAATCAATGCTTTAAAGGTAATCATGTTACCAATAACCTATTTTTGAATTTATAAAAATTTCTTTATAAATGATACTTTGTTAGCATAGTAAAATATATCATTATACTATGTGTATGTTTGTTACAGCGTCGCCAAAAGTTAGAACTCTCTATAAGTGCCTCTCATAAAAGATCCTGGACAGAGGAGGAAGAAGAAAATATTAAGCCATTATCTAATGTTCCCTGTCAAGGTATCAATGCACTATTGAGGTATTAATGACAAGGAATTGGTACTGTTTCTTTTTTAAGGTTAGATTTTGCACATTGGAGCTATCAAAATGTGTTTTGGTTTAGATTTTAAATTCTCTACTGAGCAGTAGTAGTATTTTATATTGGTTTTCAGGTCTTGTCCAAAGTTTTAAAACTCCATATGTATCATCAAAGCATTTGTAAAGAAAGTATCTTCAGTATTACATGATATTCTACCATAATGGTAAAGTTGGTTGTGTTTATGTATATAATTGACCACTGAGACACAAGTGCTCAAACACCATATGGAAATTACTCCCTTCACAAGACACATCCAGGGAATCATGTGGCTCGTGCTGAAGGTAAGTATTATTATTGTATTTCACTTTCTACTTAAAAGCCAGTTGATTCATTCCTATTAATGAACCTGAGTACTTATTTCAAAAAGTGACCTTTTTGAAGACCTGGGGAAACAACTTGTTTTTATATCAATAAGTTTCAATCTGGTCTAAACTTAGAACCACGGTACTAGATAAAACAGTAGCATTTTATGCACCTTAAATTGATGCTGTTTAACTTCCATTTACTTGTGATCCCTTGTTTGTTGGAAGCTTTTCAGTATTTCCTTCAGTTGCAATTTCAAGGAAGTAACTACAAATTTGTTTTCTTAGTTTTAGATTTATTGAGACTAAGGTGGATTTTCTCCTCCTATACCTAATTCTCCAGAGTTCAGTGTCTTTATTATTCAGAGTTGTTGACTTCTGCCTCTGAATCCTACTGCCATCCCCCAAAAGTACAGTCACTCAGATGCTTTCAGGCAGTGAGTAGGGATACCCTTGTGTAATCGTTTTTTTTTTAATTTATTATACATCATTAAGCAGATTAAACATCGTTTGTTGTGCCCATGATAACTTCATCCAAAGTATGTATATCACTCTCAGGGCTGCCATAACAAAGTACTACAAATTCGGTGGGGGGCTTATGGAACAAATTAATTTTCTCAGAGTTCTGGAGGATAGAAGTGTAATGTGTGGGCAGGTATAGTTTCTCCTGAGGCCTCTCTCCCTTGGCTTACAGACAGCAGCTTTCTTGCTGTGTCTTCACGTGGACACCAGTCATATCGGGTGAGGACCCCACCCTTACGACCTCATTCAGTCTTTTTAAAAAGCCCTATCTCCAAATACAGTTACATTGGGGGCAGCGGCTTCAACATAAGATTTGGGGGCTGGGTAACAATTCAGTCCACAGTGTGTGACAGCCTAGTTTATGTACCTCCTTCCAAGACACAAAAGTATTCCCTTTAGCCTCAGGATTACAGTGCAAGTATCTGTAGTTCTGCTGTTCTGTCTGCTGTATTGTCTTCTTTTACTTTCACTGTATTCTAAAAACTAAAGTTATAGCAGACCAAATTAAGAATTGCTCACAATACATTCACGTAATCAGTATCAGTTCAGTGTGTTTTCACTGAACAGATCTTTACTGAATGAATGAAATAGTCTATGTTGATCTGCCCTTGTTTTTGTGGGTTTTCTTTTTTTTTTTTTCCCATCAGTTCCACTTTGTACCATGGATCTGTTTCTATTTTGCTAGTGTTTTTATTTTTACCTACTCCACTTCCCTTTTCCATCCCCCTTTCCACCTCCAGCCCGGAGGTAGCTATTGTTAACCACTGTGGCCACGTTTTTCCGTGTTTGGGTAATGTTATGCAGTGTATATACAAAAGTGTTGGGTTTTGGTGCGGGGGGGAGCAGAAAAGGAAAGGGTCATCTATTTTATGCATCCTTTCTTCTCATTTCTGTACTTTCTGGCCTTCAGTTCTTTCTTTTTCTAATGAGCTTTGATAGAAGTGACAGTAATCAAATAAAAACTATGACACTAATAATAAAAGTAAATGAGTCATGATTGAGGGAACTATATACACAGTTGAATACACACATGCATACACATTGGAATTTCGAGTATCATTCATTCTATGCACAGGTTTTCTCAGTGGCTATTTCAAACCACTACCATCCTCCACTTTCTATTCAGTGCCAGCTCTAGTAAAACAGGATGACTTTTCCTTTTCCTTATGAAGAAAATGGGACCATTGAGTATGATACCCTTCAACTTTAACCTCCATAGCCATACATTTATAGTTGGTTAACCAAGATGTAATAAGGGATGGATATTACTGATAACCCACTGTTATGAAGAAAATACAAAATCAAATGTAGTGTAAAATGAACTTACACCTTAAAAGTACATCCATTATTTGGGGGGCATATTTGCTCTTATGTAGAATTCAAAAAGCTTATTTTTTGCCTTATACCAGCCCAAAGCCTGTAAAACATCAGTTTGTCCTTTAGCAAATGGTTCTCACTTTTTCAGTAATCTAGAGCTAGGCAAGTATTCTTAACCCCGGTTCTGCATCAAAAGCACATGAGGAGTGTTCTTTAAAAAAGGTGTGTAAGTCCTATCTATTATGTGGATTCTTAAAAGACTTTTTAAAGTGAGAACTAGTTTGAAACCATTTGGTAGGTGTTTCTCCAACTTTAATTTTTCTAAGAATCAACTCTGCCCTTACCCTGAGAGACTAACTAAGCCTGGCTAAAGCAGGGTGGAAAAATTTGCTTTTTGCATTCTTGTATGTCATACGAAAAGGCAAGGGATTTACATTTGCTGATGGCCCCCTCAGCTATAGAGCGTGCCCATTTTAGTGTGTGCTCTAGCCAACCAAAGCTATGCTCAAATGCTTTTCAGTTCCAACTTACTGAACTTCTTTCTCTTTCTGAGTGGTCAAGAGTGCAGGCTCTAGAACCAGACTGCCTCGTCTGCATCCTGGGTCAGCTGTTTACTTGACCAGCTATTACTCTTGGACTTTTCTGTGCCTTTTTGTATTTCTTCATCTATAAAATGGGACTGTAGTATAACCTACCTTATAGGACTCTTAAAAGTTTAAGTGGGTTTCTATATATGAAATTCTTGGAAAATGTCTGCCACATAGTAAGTGTTCAAAAATTGTCAGCCTTTTATAATTTGTTGCTATTGTTTACTCCCAGAATCCGCCTTCCTGAGACAGACTTCCTTGGGCTACTCTCATTCCTACCTGCATTCCCTGTCATTTCTTTTTTTTCCCTACTCCTTAAATATGAGTGTCGAGGATCTGTACTTGGCTCCCTTCTAACTTCAACTTTTCTGGATGGTCGTGTCTACTAGTTTGTCGTCCTGTACTGCCTGCGTGCTGATGATTCACCATTCTGTGTCTCTAACTTCTAACCAAACCAACCTCATGCGTTTCAGACCCATATATGTTGCCAACGATCTGGTCAATATACAGACTTGGATATTTCATAGGCACTTCAGGCTTTGCACATCCACTGACTTCATCGCTTCTTCCCAAACATAATTCTGTTGTATTCCCTTGGTGAATGATAAAATAATCCAGACATGGGGAATTATTCTCAATTCTACTTTTCTCATTGATTACCAAGTGTCAACAGGTCAAAATTGCTAATACGTTGCTCATGCATTTCTTCACTAGTACTGGTGATGAGATCTCTCATCTCTTAATTTGGACAATTAGATTTGTTCCTGAATGGCCCTCTGTCAGTTCTTTGTTTTAGTTGAAATACAGTTGACATACTGGCCTCTTTGTCACTGATCTTGCCCCTATAGTCCATCTTCAACACTGTCGGCAGAACAATCTTTCAAAGAGGTTTTACATTTTTGTCTTCCATTGCTGGACAGAACTCCTTTAGAGAGAGAAATATCCTGGTTTTGTAACCTCAGCATCTGTTAAATTATCCGGCAACTTAATAGAAGTGTAGTCTTACAGGTTCTCTGGCCTTCTGGCCAGCCATCTTTGACCTGCATTGTTCGATATGATAACCACTAGCCACATGTGGCTATTTAAATTTAAACCAAATAAAGTTTAAAATTACTTAGTCACACTAGCCGCATTCCAAATGCTCAGTAGACGCATGAGATTCCTGCAACACATCGGATAACATATTTTAGAACATTTCCATTACCACAGAAAGTTCTATTGGACAGAGCTGCCGAAGACCCTTGGTGATACGGACATTTTCCTTTACTGACAAGATGAGAACTTTCAGGCACCTTTAAAGTGCTAACCTGAGCAAACCAGTCTTTAGCATTTATGTCTTTATCTTGATCCTGCCATTAATCACATTAGTGTATCTGCTCTTTAGCTAGCACCTCTCGCAGCATGTGTCTTGTCAGGAGAGCCCACGGTAGGTATTTCAACAAAGGAGATGTGATAGAGGCATAGAGGACAATCTGGATATCCTAACTGCAGGAGGTAGCCACTATTCCTAGGGGTGAGGAAACAAAAGGGGGAAGAGTTGGGGTTGCCAGAACCTTGGAGCTCCTAAACAGGAGTCCGCATGGACTTGGTGCATAAACTTCTGAGACGGTTCACCACCTATCTGCTCTTGCTACTTCTGAGGGATGCAGTGAAGATAGTTCTAGACCTTCTGAAAGTAGTTGAAGACTGGAATTAACTGACATTAGGTCAACACTGGTAGGATTGGCAAGCAAAGACAAAAGTAAATCTTGTTTTCCTCTTCCTACCTTCCACCTTCTCTGTAGTACTTTCTGGCAGAATCTAAATGGGATGCAGCAGTCAAGGGGGTCAGGAAAATGTAGTTTGTGGAGTCCCAGCCCCAGCATCACAGAGCAAAGGATAGAAGGGTGGAATTGGAGCTGGGAGACAATAGATAAAGAACACATTAGTTTCCTTTTAAGAATTCCTTTTTACCCAAAGATGTTAATCCCTAAAATGCTAAATATTCAGGAATGTATTTGTAGACTATCTCTGGGACCTCAGGAGTAAATGCGCTAGTTCTAATTGAAATCATGTTGCTCTTCTCTATCAAATGAAACCTTTTAATGATCCATTTGTGCTTTATTTTTAAAATCAGTAGCAGAAAGAATTCACTCCCAACCGTTTATTCACATATATATTTTTTCTTTTTTGTTCCTTTTTTTTTTTTTTTTTGCATGCGTGCCACATACCACACAATATATACCAGGTGTACATACGTAAGACAAACTTGGTAAGACAAAAGTAATAATCCACCCAAATCCATCTACCCGAAGTTAAGACACTGTTCACATTTTTATGTTAATCCTTCACATTTTCTATGTATGTGCACATGTACACACACACACTATAATTCAATGATTTTCATAAAAAATTTAAAAATATAGATGTAGACATTTTCAAGGAAG